TATATAATATATTTTATATATAATATATTTTATATATAATATATTTTATATATAACATATTTTATATATAATGTATTTTTAGGACTTGATCCTGACACCGACGATCACAGTCTGTCAAAATCGGAAATGAATGCCGCTGTGCGTTTGAAACGTTATGTACAGCAGCTGACATTCGCCAAAGCGCAGTGTGAAAAGAATTTGTCCAAGTACGGTTGGAACGGCAACTATACCAGTGATGTGGTAAAGTAACATTATCATCTCACAAAGGCATTAATATATTTTTTTATAACAATTTTAGGACTTGTCACTCATTGAAGTCTTAAGCACAGCAGTTGGTCGCCGTTACTTAACCCTCTTTTTGGAACCACTAAAAGCTAGTGCACTCGTTGGTTTTTATTTGGCCGTAGAGGAATTGAAACATTCGCACAAATCTGCTTGGCATCAATTGGGTACAGAAATTTTCTATACTTACATACGCGTACCAAAGCCAGAAATCCAGATAGACAAACATGAACGTAAACTTATAGAAACATTTCTGCTCGGCGACACTGGGCCCGATATATTTTATGATATACAAAAGAATATATTGAAGAGCTTAGAAGAAAAGTATTACGCCTCATTTGTGCTGAGCGAACAATATCGGCAACTGCGTGAGGCGCTCAACTCGGATGATTTTAAAGATCCCACCTTATTGCTGCGTACAATCAACGGTAGCGATGCTACAGCGGACGAGTCAAATACTGCCCTTGAGGGTGCAGACGGTGCTAATACAGCATTGGATGTGGCAGCGCATACATCGTATGCGCGTCGTAAGCTCGAACAGCTGCAGGAGCGCATAGATAAGAAAAGTCAAGCGTTGGATGCGCTGAAATGTTCAGTGAAGCCTGAGTCGAAGGTGTTGCAGATATTGGAGAAGGAGATGGAGTGGTTGAAAAATGAAAAACGACAAACGGAGACACATCTGAAACGTACAGATGCGTGGACTGAGCATTTGGGCAAGTGGAAGGCGACGCTGCAAAGCGTGGAGGTACGCGGGGTATAAATAAACGCTTAGTTTTTTTACTAATTTTATTTATTAAAAAAAAAAATTTGTAAAGTTTATAAAATTTTTTTTTATATTTTTTTATAAATAGTTTTTTAATCATTTCTTTTATATTTTTTTAAAATATTTTTTTGTGTGTTTAGTATATTTTTGTGTGTTTAATATTTTTTTGTGTGTTTAAAATTTTTTTGTTTTTTTTTTAATATTTGTTTGTTTTTTTTAAATATTTTTTTTATATAATATTTTCGTTTTTATTTGTTCTTATATTCTTTTTTATATATTTTTATATATATATTTTTTTATATATTTTGATATATATATTTTTTATAAATTTTTATATATATTTTTTATATATTTTTATATATATTATTTTTAAATTTTTTATATATTTGTATATATATATTTTTTTTATATATTTATGTATGTGTTTGTATGTTTTTATATAGTTATTTTATAATGTTTTATGTTTATTTTTATATATTTATTTTATAATGTTTTATGTTTATATAAAAGTTTTTATATTTATTATATTTTTTTTATATATTTCTTAAAATTTTTTAAATATTTTAAATTTATTTTTATACATTTTTAAAAATTTAATTTAATTTTTTTTTTAATTTAATTTTATTTTTTTTTAATTTAATTTTTTTTTTAAATTTAATTTTATTTTTTTTTTAATTTAATTTTAATTCTTCTTTTATATATTTTTGCTCATATTTTCTGTTACTAATTTCCAATGTGTACAACAACGGTTAAATTACAGATTTCTGACGAAAAAGAGTCTCTACAATTCATGATACTCGTGCATGTTGATGAGGACATTAATATGCCACGTGCAGCTGAAAACAGCAGCAGTTCAGGTAAAGCTGGTGGTCTGCAAGCCCGCCCAGGTGCGATATCCAGTGGTTGGGTCGTGATGCGTTCATTAAATCAAGTGCATGTGAGTAGCAAGTCATGAGCCATCATTTCGATATTTATATTTTAATTTCATTAATTAATTTTTTTATTGCATAATGAAAAATATTCACAGGAATTACAACGCAAATTACGGCATGTAAATTCAAGTATTAAATCGCTCGATCTGCCAACAAACTTTAAATTTTTCTTTCTGAAAAATGATCGCCATGCGCTCGAAAAGGCTAAAGGACAAATACAGAAATTTTTAAATGTAAATACAACTAGCATTATTGTTGTTGTAAAGCCAAATTTTAAAAAATTTTATTTTATTTTTGAAACACTAGTTCATACTGGAAGACGATCATTTAAATGGCAGCGAAGCTATTTATAGTTTCCTCAGCCCCAGTTCAGAACATCTCAAACAGACGTTACCCTCACCGAAGAAATCGAAATTCTCATTATCAACTTTGTTTAAAAGTGACGCTGCGAAAGCCGGTGAATTAAGCAAAGCGAATGATCCCTTCTGGGGCTTACATCGTGATGAGGAGGATATTTCCACTTATCTGGAGGGGGATCCCAGTGTGGACACAAAACTTTTGACCGATTTAGATAGCAAAGATTCCATAGCGGAACCTTTGTATGCTTTGTTGGGCGAAATTTTCGATATGGGTGGTGTTTTCAAGTGGTTGCGTAAGAGTTTAATATCGTTTGTGCAGATCACCTATGGCCGAACAATAAATAGGTAAGAAAATAAATAATATTTCTATTAAATAAATAATTATAAGAAAATTTTAAAACAAAATAAACAAGAAAAACGTAAATTTTATGAAACAAAAAAAATTTTAAAACAAAAATTTGAATTCCAATATTTTTAAATCAAACTAAATGTTGACATTGCAGACAAATTCGGGAATCGGTGGCATATTTGTTTGAGGAATCGATGATGCATTATTATTTCTCCGCCATATTAAAATCCTTTTGGCCCGGTGGCGTGCTGGCCTCTTCGTATCCCGCACGTTCGGACGACATAAAGGAAATGACACGCAACGCTGCAAAGGATTTGCTAATGGACCATATACCTGAGGTGCTGTGCAATCTAGTAGGCGCACAAACGGCTAAACATGGTGTGCTAAAAGTCTTTGAAGCAATGCAAAATCCCACATACAACAAGCAACTTTTTTATGTGAGTCCAAATGCATTTAAAGGCAACTTATTTTATGTAACATTTTGTACTCCAACAACTACAGGAACTGCTTGAAATTCTTATGATCGAATTTTTTCCCGAAATACGTCAGCTAAAACTGCCTGGTGCGAAGTCCGGCGCACACCACAACACAACGGCGACAGCGGGCACAACAAACTACAGTAGTGCCGCTACTACTTTGATCACATCGACAACAACAACAGCGGCTGCAGCAGGCGGTGCTGGCAGTAGTAATAACAATCAGCTGCACACCACATACTCACAACCATACGAAAAGCCACAACCTTTGCAATTTCAACAACATCACTTCGCCAGCAATGGTAAATAGTGTTTGTAAGCAAAAAATAACAACAAAAACCAAGCAAAGAAACAAAATTAGCACCAAAGTAGTAAAAAAAAAACAATTTTACAACCAAAATATACAATATTACTTCTAAGAGCATTATATATACGCAATATATGTATATGAATGTATGTATATACTAAGTGACTATATATGGCTTTAAACTTTTAGGTGGTAATATTAAGAAAATGTGATTATTCAAAGCGCTTTGCTCCTATTTACTGCATCCACCATACACTCATTTATGCTTAAACCCGTTATTAAATCTCTTGTACATGTACATATATGTTTATAAATCAATGTTTTTTAGTGATAATTAATTAATTTCTATGAAATATGACAATTTTCTATGCGAAGATATTATTTTTATGACCCTGACCCAATATAATAATAACCAGTATTAGTTTCGAGAGTTCGGATTGCAATAATAATGAAATATATAAATACAAACAAAATAATAACATTCCAAAGGTTATAGGTGTCAGTGAAAGTAAGAAATTCAAAAAACACAAAATACCATATTAACTGCGATTAGTTATAATTGCATACAAAAAGCAAATAAACATTATAGTAAATTATAGCAAAAGATATTATTTAAAATATGTATGTGTAGCGTAATCGTTAAATTTGTAAGTGATTTTGTTAAAAAGTGGAGGGTTTGTGATTTCCAGAAATGTCTTTTACACACAAATATTAACTAAGACAGTTTTTGAAATATATATTTATATGTATGTATGTTTGACAGTTTCCGAATGTAGCCACCATCTCGAATAATACTAAACCGAATAGTAATAAAAAGGAAACATCAAAATTAAAAATAAAACATAGCAAAAGGAAAGTTAACGTAAAAGTTGCCGAAAGAAAACACAAAATACTATATTATTGTATATGTAACCATACATACAAACAAATCTATGTATATATGTAAACAAAACAATAATTGAAATATATACATGTGAGTTTTTCGTTTTCAAAATCAATAATTTATGTATGTATCTGCATGTTCAAAAGACAAACGTTATTCCAAATTCAATAGAGAGCCAACGGCATACATCACCCGTTATGTACCATTGTATGTACATAAATTAATAATAATAAAAAAAACAACACATTTATGTAACATTTTACGAAAAATTTGCTGTTTTATTTTACTCTCAGCTTCCGGATATCAAACATTTTACGAAAGTAATAAAATATTATGTGCGTATGTGTTTATGTACATATATCTCGAATTACAGCGTTACTAAATAATATTTACAATATTTTATAAAATTTCCAACGCACTCATTTATTTATCTGAGTCTACACCAAAATCGAGGAAGTCAGTTAGTAGACGCATAGCGTTACGTGGCAGCAAACGTCCGAATTTATCCAAATGCAACCATGTTCGTGGAATACTGGCGTGCTCTATGCTGGTGCGTTGTGCCCGAATGATGCTCGCTGCCGCGTCTGTAGGCTTGACCAGGTGGAGTAGACTGGGGAAGCGGAAGCGTGGACGCTTGCAAAGCCCGGTATCGACCATGTATGGGTAGATGGTGGTAAATTTGATCTGAAAATGCACGGAAAAAGAAAATTTTACATTTTTGTATATAAACTAAATCAGAACAAAAAATCAATTCAACGTATTGGTTTTTAGGAATACTTACATTATTCTGTGGATTCTTGTGTCGCAATTCTTCGCTAAGCGCCTGAAAGTAGACAAAAAAGCATGACTTAAAAGCTGTCCTTCTTTGGCGACGTAGGGCTACGTTTGTTTGTCTTCTACCACTTACCTCCATTAGACCACGCACAGCGTACTTTGTACCGCAATATGGCACCAAATTTGGCACTCCGAAGATACCAGCACACGATGACAAAGCGACAAAGTGTCCTTCATTGCGGACCAACATATCGGGAAGGAAGGCTTGAATAATCTGTACAAAAAATTTTTATTGTAAAAAGTCGATTTCTTTTTACTAGACCTTATGTATGATTAACTCCATCATACACTTTATAAATATCTAAGGTTAAAAAGGAATATATTATTTTCCTACGAAATGTCTTTATAATCTGTATCTCCCGTCGCGATCGGGTTACGCTATATGGAGTTAGAAAGATAAGATTCCGTACTAAAAAAACTCCTCAGACAGTTTTGTGGTTGCACCCGTTAAAGATGGACTCCAGTGCCACACGAGTTAAAGTAAAGAATCCGAATCATGAACCATCTTCGAATCGCTGTTGAGTCGCAACAAAATCGCGCCCTTTCTAAAGCAGATGGTTACTGATGATGAAAAGTGGATCCCTTAGGACAACGTCAAGCGAAAACGGTCGTGGTCGCATCGCGGTGAATACATAGACTGCACAAATCCTTATAACCGATAGCTCTCATCATTTACGGTCAAGAAAAGTAAACATTGTTGGCAACAACCAAAGAAATCGGCGAAGACCATATATACGCAACGGCCCCACAGACACTTGCCTGAAACTGAACCATCCCCCAGGAACAACAAGGGTATGGAAGAAAAATAGGCAAACCGACAGGATGTTCTACATGGAGGTGAGAAGCCCGCGTTGTCTCGTGATATTCAAATATTCGGAATATTTTTACTATGGACCTTGTTCGAACGCAACATCCTAAATATCCGGCATTCTACTAAAAATTGATGCGTCTTTAGACAGAGTTGCTCGCTATAAAGCTCAATGTTAAGAGCAGTTGCGGTTTGGAAGGAAAAATCAGAATTTGTTTTAAATCCGTTTTTAAAATTTTTTATTATTATTTTGGATCTTATGGAGTCTGGAGTTTATTCTTTCATATGTTATTTAACGAATGGTTATTTATAATATTTACTCACCCAAAAGTGCGCCAGCACATTGATCTCGTACATAGTTCTGATCTCAGTTTCGGTGTGTTCAAGGATTGGATGACAGGGCATAATACCAGCATTATTTACAACAATATTGATAAAGCCATGCTCTTTCTTGACCTTCTCAGCCAAGGCGTTGATCTCTTCGCGTTTTGTAACATTGCACCTTTATAAAGGAAAACATTTGTATCTAAATTAGGGCAATTTATATGTAAATAATACTATACTCACGTATAAGCGTACGCCTCCCCACCGTAAGCTTTGATGTCCTTGACTGTCTGCTGATTGGATTCCTCATTCACATCCCAGCAGATGAGCTTAGCGCCAAGTGCGCTGTACTGCAAGGCGAGCTCCTTGCCGATGCCATGTCCAGTGCCAGTGATCAGTACAGTTTGACCTTTGACATCGATTTCTTGTGGCACAAATGTTTTAACTATCGACTCGAATATCGAAATCCAGAACTTAAATATCAGCAGTGCTATGTCTAACACCAAGGTGACTATATTGTAAATATCAATGTTGTTCTTATTGTTATTATTGCTGGTGCTGTCGGAGCTATTGTGGGAAGGAAAAAGTAAAAGAGTAAAATTATCGTGTGCTAAGGTAGATTAAGGGGGTATTTCTTGTCTAGAAGAAAATATCGATTTTTTTTTTAATTTTAAAGTTTAACTATTCAAGAATATGTCTGCAAGAAGATTTTTCAAAATTCAAATTATTTTCGGAGATATACAAGTAGGTATTTTGCTGACCCGGCATCCAATGTAGATCGGCTGGAACTGTCGTTTTCAAAACGATACCCACGATTTCTCAGGTTCTACTGGACCGATTTACCTGAAATTCTAAGGGCGTCTGCTTTATAGACTCTATGGCTGGAACTAGCCATATCCTCAAATTCCAAGTCTTATTATTTTTAAAAAAGCAGTCGTCATTTTGTGAAAAAATGTTTTTCACACTTCTCGGTAGTTCCAGACATTGCGACATTATTTTAGATCAATAATTTTTAACTTCCCGATAAAAAAATTGAAAACTTTCTAAAAATCGGGAAGATATTGGTTTCACCCCATTTTGCAAAAATCGAGTTCTCAACAGATCTCGACGTTCTGAGGGTCGAGGAAGCTTCCCCGAACATTTCTACGATGATGTCCGTATGTCTGTATGTATGTGTGTGTGTGTGGATGTATGTAAACCTCTTATAACTTTTAAACGGCTCAACCGATTTGAATAAGCTAAACGGCATTCCAAAGGGTTTCATTGCACTTGAATTTCGTGTAAGTTTGGACCCAATCGGACCAGTAGATATCTCAAAAATAAAAATATTGAAAAATCGTGTTTTTTTTCAAATTACTTCGAAACGACTTGACCGATCGACACCAAAAACTAATCAGTTCTAAACCGTAAAAAAACACATCGTTTGCCGAAATCGGTTGATTTACTTGCGAGAAATCGTTAACGAAGGAAATCACCAAAATTGATTAGTCTTTGAGAAATTTGGGAAATAGTGTTATATTAAACTCCCATTAAACTCGAAGAGCTCAAAAGCAGTGAAAAAAGCGAAATTTGAACGTTAACGTATGAAATTAGCGGGAAGTTGCAGGGATGGCCCTTGAGGCCAACCGTTTTCCACATTGTTTTTTTTTGGTTCCTGATTGAGAGGAGGGCTGAATCGACGGTATGGTCACATGCCAATTTTTTGAGCTACTGCTTTTCCTGCATTCTTCTGATAGTAATAAATAACTAGTAAATGCAAATATTTAGAGTAAAAGTATTAATTGCTTTTTTTTTATAACACTAAAGTACCCCCATAAACGTATTATTTGTAGTTATAATACACAGCATAACCTTTGTAGATGTAGTAAAATGATTAAGAGACTTAGAAATTTAGAAAAAAAGTAAATAAGTCTTCTCCTTATCGTTTTATTAGAACTTAACTGAATCTAATCAGGCATATATAAAACATATTTAAACACTATTGTTGACATAGTAAACAATAATAACTTTAAATGGATAATAGGGTTGTCAAGCGGTTGAGTCTCGGGCTGTCAAGTTAAGATAAAACAATTCATATTCATTCATATCAACAAATATATATAATAGAAAACTTGTTATGGCAGTCGTCGCGTTGTCCTTAGAGAGAAAACAAATACTCTTGTTGAGAAAGCAAGTATTTGAGTATTTCGTACTCAGAACTCAAAACTCAGAAAAATAAGACTGTGTTAAATTTTCGGGTACGAAGACCAATTTGTTCATTTTAACTATATAGAGGGGTCCAAAATTCTAGATCCTCTCATAAATAGAATAAAAATAACTTCAATTATTAAAATGAAAAAACAGTACTTTTTTTAATTTTTATACTCTCGCAACATGTTGCTACAGAGTATAATAGTTTTGTTCATCTAACGGTTGTTTGTATCACCTAAAACTAATCGACTTAGATATAGGGTCATATATATATAAATGATCAGGATGAAGACACGAGTTGAAATCCGGGTGACTGTCTGTTTGTCTGTGCAAGCTGTGTAGCTGTTTAATATGCATATCTCCTTAACAGCTAAAGCTATAATAACGAAATTTACTGAGAACAAATGTTTTTAGCACCTCTATCGATAGTTTGAAAAATCGGGTGGCAACTCCGCCCACTCCCCATATAACGGTACTAAAAGTAGTACTTTTAAGTATTAAAATATATAAAAAAATGTCAAACGAGTATACCATTTGACTTTGCGAGAGTATAAAACGTTCGGTTATATCCGAACTTAGCCCTTCCTTACTTGTTTTTTATTATTATTTTTTCGTTGATTTTTGACGATGGATATCTCGTAAACGCTTAACGTAATCGACCTAAACGCACCATTTTTGTAGAGCAGCAAATTTCCTACAAAACTATAAGTTTTACAATTTAAAATGATTTTTTTCATTGAGTTATAAAATTCATAAGAAAAAGAACTGGGCTTAAAATAAACAAATTTTAACCATTAATATTTATTTAAACGGTTAGGTTTATGAATAAATTGTAAAATACTATTTTGTAGAACATTTAATTTTTAATGAAACGAAATATTTTTTCAACTATTGTAATTAGAAGCGAGATATGGATTTTTCTATCTGATAATAAAAAAAAAAAGAAAGAAAGACCTTTATATAATGCTTGGAGAGATTTTTATAGAGGTATCTAAGCACCAACATATTTTTCAGAGTACCAAGCGAAACACCATATTCGTTTTTATTTACCCATAATAAACAAATGAACTTTTCGAAAATATTTAAATAATATATGAACTGAAGTATTATATTTATTATCTCAAAGCAATCACTAATTGAATATTAGGTAATTTTTAGCAAATTTATTCCTCAGAAACCGACTTATTAGATCGGTGGCTGTACATATACTTATTTTGAAGCAACGCGTAATTAATTAAATTAGGAATAAATTTTATAAAAACATTTTTCCTCCATTTTACTTTAAATCATCGCAAACACTTTACATTGAGTAAGACATGCAAAAAAAAAGCTTTTACAAGCAATTAAATTATAAACACTGATAATATTTACATGTGTGTACAGTTCTAGATTATGTCATTAAAATTACATTAAGCATATTAGCGATAAATATTTGTACGTGCTAGGCCAAACAAATCTTTTAATTTTTTTCTCTTGATACCGTATTATTAATTTATTAACATTATAAAATTCGTAATATTTATTAAATATTTCCAACTTTGTTAATATCAAATGTCTTTTTAAATCATGTTGGATAAAAAAAAAATTCATAAAATTTAGCAAATAAAAACAACAAAATTTATTTAAAAATAAATATATATTTTATGATTTTGAGGCTTTATTTGTGGGAAGTAATATAAAAAATTGTAAAAATTATCTTTTAGCAAGAAACCATTTAATTTTTTTAGATCTTTAAGTTACATAAAAAAAAAGTTTACGTTATCACTAGAAAATAATTTGTTCAAATGCATTAAAAATCCAAACAAAAGACGAAAAAATGTGTTATTTACAATAAATGGGAAATCAAAAATCAATATTAATATCAAAGCAAAAGTTTTACCAGATTTTTTTTCATAATTTCTGACGATATTTTAATAGTATGTTTATACAATAAAAAAGAAAGTAAAAGTTTTTTTTGGCCACACTAGTGTGTATGTATGTATAACAGTGTATTATTTCTATTTTGTCTTACAAATGTATAAATATATAGGATTATATATAAAAATGTACTCGCCTCTTAATAAAAGAAGCGCCTATCGCATTGATTCACGATCGTAAAGACATGAAGATAAGAATATCAAATGTATTTTTGTAGACGCTTGTAAAATGTGCTTTGTCTCTAATAGAAATATTTTATATACTATGTTATGTTTAAATTATGAAATGATTGAACCGTTCAACATTTGTTAAGGTGCTTCTTGTTGGCTCATTAGTAAAAATGTGCTTTGCATACAGCCGATCACGCCACTGTAATCGCTTTCTGAGGCTTATCACTCATCTGGAAATGTTTCTAACTACCTCAAATTCTTTTGGAACAGAATGATAGCTTTGCTCGCTACTTTATTCTCCAAAAATTTAAATATAAAGCAACAACAACGTTATCGTGTTGAATTGATACAAGAGAGTTTGAGGGTAACTTATTAAAGTGGTATACTCGTAATCGCTATCTTCAATGGTACTAAATTTAAGACGATAAGTTTGGAGATAAATGTAGTTGGTAATCTTCCAATCGGAGTTCATTCCAATTTACTATTGCGGCGCCAGCGCAGGAAGACATGTGTTGCAGTTCATTGAGGACGCTTTTTTTATTAAATAAAATTATATCCTTACATTGTTGGTCATACTACTAGCCATCGGTCACTAGCGTTAATAATACTCATACGCCCTGGACACTTTACCACATAACACCAAATACACACACTCAAGCAAGAAAAAAACATGTCAAAACCTGCGAGTTCCGCATATTAAATAATATGGACCGGGCGTAGTCAAAAAAAAGATGAACTAAGCGTAGGGTATGAATTGTGCATGCTGCCACTAGTGGCAGTATCTTTCAGAAGATTTCCTCTTCGGTTATTAAAAAAAAAAAAAACAAGTAAAAACGTTAATTTCGGTTGCATCGAAGCTATTATACCCTTCACAAATGCAAAACCTGATTCCGACCATTCAGCTTGTATGATCCGTTCCGAATTTCGTGAAGATATCTCGTCAAATGAATAAGTTTTCCATGCAAGAGCTTGATTCCGATTGTTCAATTTGTATGGCATAGTATATACGCTATAGTGGTCCATTCCGACAAATGGGCAGCTTCTTGGTGAGAAATGGTTATATACTAAATTTAAGATCGATATCTCAAAAACTGAGAGACTAGTTCGCGACATATATAGAGATGGACATAGGTAAATGAACTCAACTCATCATGCTTATCATTTATGTACAGTATATATTTTATAGGTTATATAACTTAATAAGCCCTCTTCAGGGTATAAAAAAAACACAGGCACTCACCTCACGGAATTCGACGGTTGCACCATTTTAAATACACAAATTTTAATGAAAAATTATATTTGTATGTGTTAAAGAAATATTTGTAACGTCAAGAATAATACGCAAACGCATATCCTTATTAATTGTGTGGACTTTCCCTAGACCAGAGCAACAATAAACCGTAACTGGCCGATTCAGAATTCCAACTATGCAAAATTTAGAAATGCGTGCACCGCTCAACGAACCAAATGAATGATCACACACAATCGCGACATATTCGTATATATGTGCTCAGGCAGCGGTCGTTGGTAGAGCGCCGTTCTACATTCACAGAACTGACTGTCAGCGTGTATGTAGTTAGAACATTTCACATTGCTCGCCGGCTTGAGGCTATAAACATTTGTCTATTTGAAAGTGTGTGAAATGTTTCATGTGCATACATATGCACATTTGCATACATTTATATGCTTGTGATATTCCAGCTCACTTAGGCGATGTTTTACTTTTAGCCCTCCGTTTCGCTGTGTTTTCTAATCGGTATACACAAGTTTTTAGTTGCTAATAAAAACGGCAATAACTGCATCATGTAAGGGTAGGCCAAAAATATCTTTTAATTTTTTTCTCTTGATACTGTTTTATCAATTTTATAACATTATAAAATTCGTAATATTTTTAATATTTCCAACTTTGTTAATATCAAAAGTATTTTTTAATCATGTTGGATAAAAAAAAATTTCATAAAATTTAGCAAATAAAAACAACAAAATTTATTTAAAAATAAATATATATTTTATGATTTTGAGGCTTTATTTTTGAGAAGTAATATAAAAAATTGTAACAATTATCTTTTAGCAAAAAACCATTTAATTTTTTTAGATCTTTAAGTTACATAAAAAAAAACTTACGTTTTCACTAAAAAATAATTTGTTCAAATGCATTAAAAATACAAACAAAATACAAAAAAATTTGTTATTTACAATAAATGGGAAATCAAAAATCAATATTAATATCAAAGCACAATTTTTACCAGATTTTTTTTCATAATTTCAGGCGATATTTTAATAGTATGTTTATACAATAAAAAAGAAAGTAAAAGTTTTTTTGGCACGCTAGTGTGTATGTATGTATAACAGTGTATTATTTCTATTTTGTCTTACAAATGATTCACTATCGTAAAGATATGAAGATAAGGATATCGAAATGTGAAATTATTTTGGAATAGAACGATAGCTTTGCGCGCTACTTAAGTGTCAAAAAATTTAAATGTAAAACAACAACAAAGTTATCGTGCTGAATTGATACAAGAGAGTTTGAGGGTAACTCATTAAAGTGGTATACTCGTAATCGCTATATTCAATGGTACTAAATTTAAGACTTATAAGATCCGATAGGTTTAGAGATAAATGTAGTTGGTAATCTTCCAATCGGAGCTCATTAGAGCTGAAGCAGCAACACTTCTGTATAATAATATAATTTATTTGAGAACTATACTAAAAATTATATACTATTTTTATATCTTGAACAGGGTGTATTAAGTTTGCCACAATGTTTGTAACACATAGAAGGAAACGTCAGATACCCTATAAAATATACTATATATGTATATATATAAATGATCAGCATGACGTGGTGAGGCGATTTAGCCACATCCGTCTGTCTGTAGACACGAAAAAGTCGCTGGAAAACTTTTTAATTTTACTAGATTTCTTAAAATAAATTTTGCATTATTATTGTCCAAGACAACCGTATAATCTCCGATTATTTTGTTCAAATCTGAGCAGTATAACATAAATCTACCCTTCAAACTGATTGATCAATCAAGATAAAGATGTTTGTATACCAGGGTATAGTAGGGTAGGGTTTATGCTATAAGAAATGCACCTGAGAAGGACTAACTCTTGAAATGGCTTTCATTTCTATTGTTGAGAAAACCCCTTTAAATCTCCACCTACTTTAAAAAGCCGAACAACAAGACCTCAGAAAAATAGTTAAGAGCCAAAAAGTTCATCTGTGTCATCAACAGTTATGCATACTCATTCAACCCCGACAAAAGGCGGCATTGTTGCATGCTCCATGCAAGGTAATAAGCGTCTGTTTCAGTGGGCTGACAAACAACAACACACAATAACAGCAATATACACGTAAATATTCAACTAGTTATTGCTACATGTGAACAAAGTGGCGCACTCAACGGAGATCAACAGTTCGCAGATCAACACGCATGGGTGTGCGGTATATACACACCTCCATACATATACCATATACAAGTACATTTGTAATTTATGTAACAATAATAGCACAACAAGGCGGCAAGAATGAGTTATTTGTTTTTATCTCTTTTTTATGGCTGTATTAAAATGTAAACGTAAATTAAAATTATTGCAACTTCGCAAATACATGGTTTCAGTGGGCATGCACGCATGCATATATATTATACATGCACACATACGTACATATATATTTGTAAATACATAATTATTTTTTTCTTGTTTATACATATACCATATAAATTTGTGTATCAAATATTGCAAATTCGTATTCACTATGTCTATATGTAAGTATTCAGAACAACCTAGCATATCTCAAACAACTATTTAGCATACCTATGCACATAAATACTCGCGCCACTCATGTCCATATATTCATATATACATAGCTACAAATTTGTGCACTTGAATATTCCTCAACCGCTTGTAAGCATAGCTAAGGTGTCGCCGTTGACTGTGAAAGTAAATTTCATGTTAGTTTCACTAAAAGTATATTGTTGTTGTTCTTTTTGTTCTTCCTCATCATCACCATCATCAAACCAATCAAAATAAGCATCACATCAATTTGTTTCTGAATTAATTTCGTATGTACATGTGTGCATGTGTTCCTAGAATGAGCAACGAAAGGGACTTTGGACGCTTGGATTACTAGCCAATTGTTTTATGTTCAACAACAACAAAAAGTGTCATATATCAGTTGTCATATATTTATATGTAGGTGTGTATATATATATGACTGTATGTCTATGAACATACTATGTACTTGTGTGTAAAATGTGTAACATGTGCGGCAAACTATTTATAATGCTTACCATTTAATAGTGATGCAGCCCATTTACTGTTATTAAAAAGTCTGTTCGGTGTTTGCCATTAAATTCTGCAACTTATATGCCCTACGTACATATATAGTACGAATATACTGTATGTATATACTATAACCTATGACGGCGGCCACTAGCGCATAAATGCATGACGGAGATTCGGAGCCTATAGAGCGTATCATTATTTATTTTGTTTTAATAATATCTAATGATATCTAAGGCACCGAATCGGGTTTTGTTTTCAAGAAGCTTCTCATATGACTTTCAACTTCGGTATATTGCATGTCTGAGCCGATAATAAACAGAAAGCGTGGGAGCTGTACATACCGAAATGATCAAACTAGAAATGTTTACACCATTACTTACTAGAAACGAATTCACTTTAAACGAACTTTAAAAGAAATATACTATTAACGAAGAGGTCTCTCAATTTTTTATTTTTTCAAATCACTTTTCTTTTTCTGCTTTCAAACTGTCGGCTACAGTATTTTCAATCTAAGATAGTTTTTGCTTGTCCGTTTATTCATAAATTTAATAGTATAACTGTAAACTTATATTTGTAATGTTGAAAAGAATGATACAGTGGCCGTCTCAGATGGTAAGCATTGTCCAAAGGCTTGCAACAGCAAGGGTTCGGCCTCAATAGTGCCCATAAAATCCTCTATTGAAACCTGGAAATGACAAAGCAATAATTGTTTAATATTTTTTACAACATTTCAAATAAAAATATACAGATCAACAAGTTTTCCAAACAACTTTTTAGGACAAATGAAAAAGTTTTACAAAAACATATCTATATTTAATAAGATATAACAAATCTTCTCATTTACCTTGCCATCCTTGTCCAAATCGAATTTTTTCAGCACAATTTCCACCAAATCTTTAACACCCTCATCGGGATCCTCGTCTTGTGGTTGTTTGATAAGGCAATTGCGTAACAGTGTAAACATCTCATCCTTCGTGATGAACCCGTCGCTATTCAAATCGTAGACGCGAAAGCAAAAGTTTGCGCGCTCGGCTAATGATCCACGTAGGAATATCGACAAGCCGGTCAACCAACCCTCCAAACGCAATGGCAGACCCTCGTGCGCGCGATCCCAACAACAAAAGATGCGTTCCATGAGAATTTCTTCGGTTACAATATCGAATGTGCTGTGCAGCAGCTCGCGGAACACAATGCGATCAATACCCTGTCGGAGTTCAGAATATAATAAGATTCTTATACAATAATATTCAGTACTTTGTTAAATAACTAACATTTTTGACTATTAGTATTGAATATAGAATAATTTTCTAAAAAAATGTATTTAACTTATACTTAAAAATTGTAATCGTTTTATGATTATTTCTACCTCCGCTGTTGCATGCGGTTTTACTATTGCCGCACTGGAGCTGCCGGTTGCTAACGTTTTTGCTGCATATTGACAATTTGATACGAGTTTGCGATAAATTCGACACAAAGCATCGATTTCATCTCTGCAAATAATTAAATAAAAAGTTGATTAAATTTTATTAGGAAATGCAAGGGAGATTTATTTAAATATGGATAGCTTAAATAAAAAGTTGGATTAGTTTCAGTCTAGTCTATTGAAAAGTTTTTCGGTTAAATATTCGTACAGAAGTTACTCATACGCCATGTAACATCAATTGAAAGCAAAATCTTGCAATTATAAGGAAAAATTTATAATTTTTAGTTTATATTTTGAATTTAAATTGAAAATATTGTAAAAACTAAATGAAGGATATCTTTTCCGGCAGTAAATTCTCTTGTTTTGAATAACTTAACAAGATAGCAAATGAGCTGCGCACATCTTAAAGCGATTAGACTTTACTTCATATTACGATAGTCGATACCTTTCAAAATTCCATACTAAAATTTAAATGAATATTTAAAATATTTTTTGAGTTACAGTCTTCTAAAGAGTAGCCGCTCTGTTCACACAGATCTATATCAGTTTATCTTTAATCGCGTTTTTCTCGAAACAACATTTTTCAAATTTGAAAGACATGACGCGAAATAAATTTTAATTTACTAGAATCTACGGTGTAAGTATGGAAATAAACGTCCCGAACAGAAATCATGACTTCTAAACGAAAAAATATAACATTGTTTAAAGTTCAACTATAAATTCCGCTGATATAAAGATATTGACTATGCCTAGATGGAGAGATGATTGTTTCTTTTTACACTGTCATTTAAAATTTAAATATGAGGCATTAACGATTTTTGTCCAATGTAAATTTCTGTGACGACGAGGTTTATACAAGTACGTAACCACTTTATCTCCAATTAGTTGAACTTATTATAAGTTACTCATACACCACGTCACGCAACACACATAAAATTATTTCACTACATTCATTTAAAATAACATCTTTTTAATTTATTATTTAAATTTTATAACTCTGTACTTGCACTCACTTGCTGAACTTTGTCTTTTTACGTAAATTCTCTAGCAACTTCGGATTAATTTTGCCGCTCAACTCGTCCATCTTGCGCTGGCGACGTTGTCTATTCGTCTGTTTGGCGCGCATTTGTGCATTGTAGGAGTTGCGTTTGTTGCTCGCCAAAAATGCGGTAATGGTCCTCAGTATACATTTGCTGGTGAGCAGTGCTGACTTCTCCTTGCCCGCCGACTTGTCTTTAACCGTCTGTGGTGGGCGTACGCCGTTAGATGGCTCACCGGTTGGTGTGCGTTGTGCAGCGCCGTTGCTGTTGCTATTGCCATTACCAGTGGCGACACCACCGCCACCTCCAGCTGCAACCTTCACACCTGAAGCTGTTTTTGTTACCAATGCAGGAATGAAAAACAACAAAAAATACATTACAAAAAGTGTTACAAAGAATACAGTTATGCATACGTTTATGTTGTAAGTGAAAATATGAGGAACAAATAAAGTAGTAAAAATCGCATAAAAATTGACAAGTCAGGAAAGTAATGTACAAAAACAATACCAAATATCGCCTAAATGCGCGTCAATCATGCAATAATGACAGCAGACAACAAAGCGCCTACAATAAAAACCAAAAATCAGTCTCTACCGCACACACCACCACACATGTATGCCATCGGGTATAAATATTTTGAATTTCATATTGTATCGCTATTTGCGCTTGATTGATATCAAACTTCCTTTATAGCAGAGTCGCGCCAGCCTACAAATTCCCGCCTAATCAACATACTAACTGTCTCAAATTCCATCTAAATACCTGCATGCATGCACATGTGTATTGTCTGTTTGCCTAACTGTTAAATATATGCCTGCTTCTTTTAGCCGCCTTGCGCCTCCTTAAAATAGCATGCTAATTCTCCATATGAAGACATTTCAGTAGCGTGACGATTGAATGGCAGCAAAAGTAAATGATTTTATTAGCTGGTGCTCACACCTCTCCGCCAACCGTCGATAAACATGTCTACGTTTGTATTGAACGCGTTCTACAAGCACCTTTGCTTTCGAAAAGCATTGCCGCCTAAAAGCTTACAATATAAGTATTTGAATAATGCTATTAATTTGTTGATTCCATTCCAAAAAGTAAACAAATATCTACAACAAAAAACTACTTTTTAGCATATGTATATTTGTATGTTCACACACATGATGCCTTCGGTGTGGTTACCAACGATGTTGTTATGTACAAAATTAATTCAATGCCTTGAAATGTAAATTTCTGCAGATATATACTTGCATTATTAGGGTAATTGGTTGTATAAAAAAAAAAGGTTTGTGACTGGTCCTAATAAAACGCATGGTGGTTGTCACTGCTCATTGCGGGCACTGACGCTTGACGATTGCTAATACTGTCACTTGACGAATATAGAAAACAAACAATGAGTTGTATTTTTTGTTTCTGTTACCGAAACGAAACGAATAACGAATTTATTTTTTCACAATTTAAATTAAAAAATTTTAAATTAAATACCAAATGTTATTAAGACAATTTAAAAAAAATCTCATTCAGCATTTTTAAAAAGGGTTATCATATAAATGCAAACTTTTTGTATACCATAGAATTTTCGATGGTTTAATTGACTTATTTTTACTTCTTTAAACAGGACATGTAAAATTTTTAAATTTTTTTTTTAAATATTGAAATGTAACAAAATATTTTTTAAAAATTATTAGAATTTACACATACTCTTATATATAATAGATAAAACAAAGTTGTGCATTGAAAAAGAAATAATATTTTCCTTATATTTTTATATATAATTAAATTGAAACTAAATCAAAATATTTCATTTAATTCCATGACTATACTGTGCAACTATTTAAGTACATTTTATATATTCGTTCTCTAAATTCGACTACCTTGCAGCATTCTCACTTAACATCACTAATTTCTGAACGTATATCTATTCTATATATTCATAAATATGTTACACACGTTCTAATACTAGCAATACTAAATGTTTTAGTGCAGCGCGATTAAGTGTTTGGTTTCGTGCTTTCATAGTTCCAAAACTTCACTAGCAGCAGTAACACTATCACCTGGGGGCAAGCTTAGCACTCTGGGTTCAGTAAAACTTTTTCATTTGCCGTTTGTTGTGCGACTAAATTCAACTAGGTATAACGGTGTGAACAGCAGTCGGAAGTGGTCTTGTGTTTTGGTAAATGACGTTTTGTCATATTGACTCTAGAGTGGGTGAATTAATTAGCGAACTTTAACAATTAATTAAACCACATGAAAACTTCTTTGCATTATGTGTATGTGGTTGTAAGAAAATAGAGATTAGTGGCAATTATTAAATTGAAAAGTGAAAAAAAAAAATATTTTTATGATTTATATAACTTTATTTAATTTTCTGTAAGAATGGCAGGAAATTAGTTTTATTGGTAAAATAAAAATTATTTTTCACTGCAATTAACTTATTGTATATATGTAAAAATTTGTAATATGAGCAGAAATGGCCTATACGTTACTACTTGAAACCCCATTTGTACCACCTCATACGCCACGTTACTCCAACACTTAAAAATCCAGTTAAGAAACTTTTCTGATTCAATGATTTTCAGTGGAGTGGCATGGCTACGAAGGTTAATCATATCTTTTATTGCAAAGTCTCGTTCTTTTTCTAAAGAATGAAATAGATAGTATTTGATTTGGTTTATCGAAAAGTGTCAACAACTATTTTTAACTTCCCGCTAAGAAAATGGAAAATTTTCTAAAAATCGGGAAGATATTGGTTTCACCCCATTTTGCAAAAATCGAGTTCTCAACAGATCTCGACGTTCTGAGGGTCGAGGAAGCTTCCCCGAACATTTCTACGATGATGTCCGTATGTCTGTATGTATGTGTGGATGTATGTGTGTGTGTGTGTGGATGTATGTGACCCTCTTATAACTATTAAACTGCTCAACCGATTTGAATAAACTAAACGGCATTCCAAAGGGTTTCATTGCACTTGAATTTCGTGTAAGTTTGGACCCAATCGGACCAGTAGATTTCGAGAAATCTCAAAAATAAAAATTTTGAAAAATCGTTTTTTTCGAAGTTTTTCCAAACGACTTGACCGATCGACACCAAAAACTAATCAGTTCTAAACCTTGAAGAAACACATCGTTTTCCGCAAACCGGGTCGAAATCGGTTGATTTACTTGCTAGATATCGAAAACGAAAAATTTCGAAGAGCTCAAAAGCAGTGAAAAAAGCGAAATTTGAACGTTAGCGTATGAAATTAGAGGGAAGTTACAGGGATGGCCCTTGAGGCCAACCGTTTTCCACATTTTTTATACCCTGAACAGGGAAGTCGGCGACCCTATAAAATATATATGTATATAAACGATCAGTGTGACGAGCTGAGTGGATTTAGTCACTATTTTTTTAGGATTTCCGTCTGCATATACGCGAACAAGTCTCTCAGTTTTTGAGATATCGATCTGAAATATTCCATACGTCCGGAATCACCGCTATCAGACCACCATAACTTATACCTGCCATATAAACTGAACGATAGAAATGAAGTGCTTGCATAGAAAACTTTTTCATTTGACGAGGTATCTTAAAAAAAGAGAGTGTTATTCAAGGCATCGCTACAATCAATTGTTGAGATCGGACTATTATATCATATGAAAACTCTTTTATTTGCCATGTTATCTTTATCATATTTTGCACAGATTATTATCAAAAGCATTGCTACGATTACCGAACAAATTTACTGATCAAAATTAGAATAAATGCCTTTTTATACTCATTTATGCAATAAAAAATCGGTCGATGTTATGTAATATATCAAATAAATTTTATTTCAAAGTAAAGTTGAATTTTGTTTTAAAATTTGAAACCCCGTTTCGAGAAGAATACGAGGTATTTTTGGTAAATATTTTTATTTTATACAAAATGTACAAAATCATATTGTATAAATAAAGACCTAACTTATACAATAAAGTAAACTGCTACTGTAGAGTAAATTTGCCAAGAAACTGCAAGTGAAATGAATTGCAATATTGGAGTAGTTAAATTAAAGACTTTAGGTTCAAGCCCACACAGATTGTACATATGTATATTCATACGTTAAACCCTCAACTGAAGATTAGTTCACTTAAACTATTCTCATTTCGTTTTTTCCCCTTTGCATATAAATTTGAATACCAAAAAGAATCTATATTTCACATGAATTAAAAAAAACTTTATTATAATCTTGATGCCATGAATACTCACTTAAACAAAAAGTTGAAAAATATTTTTTAGCTTTTCCTAATTGAATCAACCTAACTCACCCATTTTGCGTAATTCGATATTTCACAAAAATTCCTCTACACTGCGATATACCAAAGCAAAAACTTACTTTTGTTGCAAAATAAACAAAGTTTTCCGGTTTCCATGGATATTTAATGCAAAAAACAACAGGGCAAAAGTAAATATAAGTTTGGCAAGTATGACAAAATTTTCCCTTTATTTACATAATATACCGTTGAATTAGTTAAGGTAGGACAAACAGTCGACATGTTTCGTTAACGGGAAATGCCGATGCAATAATTGAGCATAGTTGCTGCCCCGGCTTTGCTCCTGCTATATTATTGACAAAACTAAATGCTTGCACAACTAACCAACTTCTTACAGATATATATTATATATGTAAATACAAGCTTTCCAGTCGCTTTGGCATTCAGCAGTCATTCTCATAAGCTGAATAAGTGCTAAAAACAAACTCATAAAAAATCTGATATAGAAAATTAATCTGAAGAAATAATCTTAATATAAGGTTGTCAAATATCTCCCTTCCGCTTTTTTGTCTTTTGAATTTCGCGGCTATGTACAAAGCGCTACAGAGCTCGTATCTGGCAACACTATACATAATTTGAAAGGTCTTGACATAACCTACAAAACAACGCTATGCATGATTAGTTTGGATATTGCGTTCAACAGTTATAGACGTGTAAACATGGAGTTCACTAACGCCGAAATTCGCGCTATTTTAAAGTTTTCCTTCGTTAAAGGCAAATCCGCTAGAGAAACGTTCCGTGAGATTAATGGTGTTTTGTGGGATGGTACTCTAGCACTTCGAACCGCGGAGGAATGGTTTCGACGATTCAGAGCCAGTGAAAACGACACCATGGATAAGCCAGCCGGCGGAAGACCTGTGACGACAAATACCGATCAAATCATGGAATACATCGAGTTAGACCGGCATATGGCATCTCGTGACATCGCCCAGGAGATGGGAGTTAGTCACCAAACCATTTTGAACCATCTGCAGAAGGCTGGATACAAAAAAAAGTTTGATGTTTGGGTGCCGCATATTTTGACGCAAAAAAACCTTCTGGACCGAATCAACGCCTGCGATATGCTGCTGAAACGGAACGAACTCGTAACATTCTTGAAGCGGATGGTGACTGGCGACAAAAATGGATCACATACGACAATATCAAGCGAAAACGGTCGTGGTCGAAGGCCGGTGAATCGTCCCAAACAGTGGCCAAGCCGGGATTGACGGCCAGGAAGGTTTTGCTGTGTGTTTGGTGGGATTGGAAGGGAATCATCCACTATGAGCTGCTCCCATATGGCCAGACGCTTAATTCTACCATCTACTGCGAACAACTGGACCGCTTGAAGCAGGCGATCGACCAGAAGCGTCCAGAATTGGCCAACAGAAAGGGTGTAGTGTTCCACCAGGACAACGCCAGACCACACACTTCGTTGATGACTCGTCAGAAGCTACGGGAGCTCGGATGGGAGGTTTTATCGCATCCACCATATAGCCCGGACGTAGCGCCAAGTGATTACCACCTGTTCCTGTCCATGGCGAATGCCCTTGGTGGTGTGAAGTTGAACTCAAAAGAGGCTTGTGAAAAGTGGCTGTCCGAATTCTTCGCAAATAAGGAGGGGGGCTTCTACGAGGAAGGTATTATGAAGTTGCCGTCTAGATGGAAACAGATCATCGAACAAAACGGCGCATATTTTAACTAAATCCGATCACTGTAACACTTTTTATAAAGCATTGAATGAAGAGCAAAAAAGACTTAAATGAAATTAAAGGACAAGTATTACACTTCAGAGATCTGCCCACTTCAGGCCTTAAGATTAGGTGAGTAACAATAGATTTCAAAATTTTAACTTCTCAATATTTTCATTGAATAAAAGAAAAATATTTGAACTTTAAATGAATCTGAAAAATGGTCGCCACGCACTCCAAAAGGCTGAAGATACAAACGGATCATTTCTGGAGCCTTACAGTTGAGTAAGTACCTCAATAGTTCAGGTGGTGTTTCAATTTCTGGTAGACTTGGCATGTTCATAGCTCTAATCGTCATTTTTGAATAGTAGTAAGAGTATGTTTTAATATTGTTGTACTTGTTGGCGTTGTCGGTCATTTGCGGCCTGCGGGCTACGTCTTGAGTAATAACATCTGATTATATTTGACTCAGACTGAGATATGAACATTATTTATAAAGGATTACGCTTAATATTGATTTTCAACAATTATTTAAATTTTAAAATAAATAATTACAGCACTTAAAATTGATTATAATTTTTTATGAAAATATAGGGTAGGTTTGCCTTTTATATTTCAGTATTGTTGCAATCTGGTAACTCACAACTTTATCGTAAAGTTTGATATGTTTGATGCTATACATACTCAGAACGTTTTGGAAAACGAGCGCTATTAGTGTAGTTTACAGTAACTTAAAATATTCATCTCGCACAAAAATTGGAATTGAAACGCGAACATTTCCGCGCGAATTTTTTTATAGATTTCGAAGTGAATTAACTTAATTAAATTTTTGGCGATGAAGTTTCATTAAAGATCAGTGTTTATGGATGATATGTTGAATTCAATCAAGGTCGTAGATCCAGATTCGTGAAGGTCGTCCAAAATCTGTTGTTGTTCCGAAGCTATTGATGTTGTGCGCAAACTGATATTGCAACAAAATAACATTGACATATTGTGAGATTGAGACAACTATAGGCATTGTTGGGACCAGCATACATACAACATTGCTTGAACATTTGATTGTAAAAAAAAATTTTTCACGTTGGATCGCACACAATTTGTCAATCGCAAAAAAAAAAAGGTTCGCTGACTTGGCATCAAATTTCTTTCTTTTATTGCCATACGTAAAAAATAAACTAAGATGTCTTTGTTTTTCGACACCTGTTAAGGCGGTTGATGTCTTCAGAACGGATGTTTTGGAGATACCTCAATCAGAGTGGCAAAAGTGCTTGGAAAATTGGTTGAAATGTATGCAAAAGTGTTAAAATTTTAATGGAGTATATCTTGAAAAACAATAAAGCGATTGTCGATTATTAATGTTGGTTTTTGTTCTCAAATCCCAAAATATAAAAGGGAACCCTCGTATTTAACATTTTTGTTAACCGAGCAAATAAAGCTTAACTACTATCATCGATGCAAAAACAATTATGCGGGTTGAAAACTGTGTAAGGAAAAGGCCTATTATGTGAGAAAGACGGGAGAAGGCTTCTCTCTGATCCCTAATCCTTGCTTTTTACCGGGTGGGGGGTGACATCCATAGATAGCTGGCGGGAATAACCAGTGGATTGATAAGTTATAAAAAAATATATATCACTTATAGAAGAATATTTCAACTTTAAAATTGCAATATATATCGGACGGTAATAGATTATAATAAGTTCATTGTTATATGTATTTCAGGAATCTTTAAAAATAAAAGAAATGGCTGTCAGAAAGTATTTCGAAAGAATTATTATTTTATTTTTCTCTCAGCACTCGAGTACAATTTATAAATGTAATTGAAAATTATGTATATATGTCTTTACATACACCATGAAGTACAATATTATTTAATGGTCTATATTTTTGGTAATTTCACAAAAAAAGGCATACAAATGCGCTCTAACTTTACTTTTTTTCGTAAAAAATCACTTATCACTTTTAAAAGTTCCAACGTTCTCTTTTATTTATCTGAGTCTACACCCACGTCGAGGAAACTATCAATTAAACGTAAAGCGTTACGTGGCAGCAAACGTCCGATTTTTTCTATATACAAATAATCACGTGGAATACTGGCGTGTTCCAGGCTGGTGCGTTGTGCCCGAATGATGCTCGCTGCTGCGTCTGTGGGCTTGACAAGCTTAAACAGGCTGGGGAAGCGGCAGCGTGGCCGTTTGCACAGACCGGTGTCGACCATGTATGGATAGATGGTGGTAAGTTTGATCTGAAGAAAACATATATGGTATATAAATAATCTAAAGAAAAAGTCAACGCATTGGTTTTAATGAGTACTCACATTATTCAGTGGGTTCTTGTGTCGTAACTCTTCGTTCAGCGCCTAGAAGTAGACAAAAATAGAATCGTGACTTCGAAAGTATTCTTTCTTCAATATCAAAAAGTGGCCAACCAAAACTTATATTCTACAACGTACCTCCATTAGACCGCGTACAGCGAATTTTGTACCGCAATATGGCACCAAGTTGGGCAGTCCGAAGAGACCAGCACACGATGACAAAGCGACAAAGTGTCCTTCATTGCGCGCTAGCATATCGGGAAGGAAGGCTTGAATGATCTGTAAGAAAAAAATTAAATATATGTTTAAACATTTTTGACCAAGTTCCTGTTGTTGTAGCAGTGGCAGAAAATATTCCTGAAGTAGTTTAAAAGAATGCAACCGAGTTGAAAGTTTTTGCTCGGAAAACCGGTTATAAACACCTAACTGTTGTGAGAATGGCGAGGGCTACGGACGGAGTTAGTCTTATATTATGCAAATTTTTGGAAGGTTCTACATGCTTAAAGCCTTCACCGAGCAATGGTTTGTTTATGGGAAGCCACGACTTAATCAGATCCTTATCTTAGGTAAGGCGCAACTTTACTTGAAGGCACTAAGCCATCTTCCCTTTTACTATAATTGAAAGGATAGTCTACAAACTAGATGAGTCGGTTGATAATCGATATATTTTTTACACTATAAGCACTCAAACTTCATATAAAAGACTTATTTATGAACTAAACAAGTTGTTTATAAAAGTACAAACTCGTTTAGACTCACTCGCTGCTAAGCTCAATTTTACAGAAAGTTGTTTGGAAGACAAAGTCAACCATCATTTTAAATACGATTTTAAAACTCCCAGTTTTATTTTTTATCAAGCACAGTTCCAATTTGGTTAGGTAAAGAAAATATTTTTTTGAGGAATAGTTATATATTACTACTCACCCAGAAGTGCGCCAGCACATTAATCTCATACATAGTTCTGATCTCAGTCTCGGTGTGTTCAAGGATTGGATGACAGGGCATAATACCAGCATTATTTACAACAATATTGATAAAGCCATGCTCTTTCTTGACCTTCTCAGCCAAGGCGTTGATCTCTTCGCGTTTTGTAACATTGCACCTTTATAAAGGAAGACATTTGTATCTAAATTAGGGCAATTTATATGTAAATAATACTATACTTACGTATAAGCGTACGCCTCCCCACCGTAAGCTTTGATGTCCTTGACTGTTTGCTGATTGGATTCCTCATTCACATCCCAGCAGATGAGCTTAGCGCCAAGTGCGCTGTACTGCAAGGCGAGCTCCTTGCCGATGCCATGTCCAGTGCCAGTGATCAGTACAGTTTGACCTTTGACATCGATTTCTTGTGGCACAAATGTTTTAACTATCGACTCGAATATCGAAATCCAGAACTTAAATATCAGCAGTGCTATGTCTAACACCAAGGTGACTATATTGTAAATATCAATGTTGTTCTTATTGTTATTATTGCTAGTGCTGCCGGAGCTATTGGCGCTGTGACGAGGAGAAAGAAAACGATTTACAGTAATAATAAACAACTATGTAATAAATTGATGCATTAAAGAGTCTGAGAAATGTGTTTAAAAAGTAAATTTGTTTTCTAATAAAGTATTAATAGCATTAAGTTGACTTTGATCAGCTACTTAATAAATAGTATTGTTGACATAGCAGACATTGTCAGAAACCACAGCAAAAAAAAAAACAGCGTTGTCAAGTTATTGAGCTTCGAAGCTGTAAAATTTAGACACAATAATTAATATTTGTTCATTGCAACAAATATGACAAGAGTGTTTGATATGCGACACCTATTTTGGTGTAACCTCTATAAACCTTTCTGCACACTTCGAACGTTATATGACTCTTAAGTGGTATATGCTTGACAACGTTTTGCTTACATTATTAAAACTTGAACTGTTTTCTATTATAAACAGTTTGGTATTTGAAATAATTTCTCGTCTTTAAGAAGCAATTGAATTGCTCGAAACAAAAATTTTCTTGTTTGACAGTAGGTCCAGATCCTGTGTATTCTTAAAATATGTATAAGTAAGTGGTGTGTGTAAAAAAATTACGGAAATTTTCGTTTTTTTTTCAAATTTTGCTCATTTGTCTAAGAAATGCAAATAATGCATTAGAAATACTTGAATTGACATTTGAATTGAATTCCAAATTTTTGGAATAAAAAATTTGCAACCCTGCTTTGCTCACATTAATGTTGCCGCTTTCAAAATGGTCTCCATTCGATATTATGCACTTTTGCTAGCGCTTCTCAATCCAATCGTCGAAACACTTTTTAAACTCGATTTTTGGGATAGCTTTTAGCTCTTTCAGCGATTTTCATCTATCTTGTAAAACTAAGGTCCGGAACCTTTAGTTCTCTTTATTTTTGGAAATGAAAAAAAGTTGAACGGAGCCATGTCTGGCGAATATGGAGGCAAGAGCATCGTTATATAGAATTCATAAACAAATTCTTTGATTCATTTCTTTTAACAAACGAAAATCGGCAAACACGTCTAACCTTGGCGGCTCCTACAGACAAAGGAAGCAATGAATACAACTGAAAATTGTATCAATTGGACATTCCAAACAAACGAAATTTTAATTACCGTTACTTTTTGAACAAACCTCGTACACCATTAAAATTCTAAAACAATTGTTAAAGTAGTTTTTCTTTTAATTCCCAAAAGTCGTCCATTTTTAAGTTGTCAAATTAGTTGTACCCCTTAAGAAGTTCAGCCATTTGGTTTTTGAACACGTTGCCAACTATTTTGAAAATTATAAAATCCGCTTGAATTTAATACATTATCAATAATACTGCACTTTTTCTAACGTAATAAGCGTAACTAAGCTAAACGTGTTTTTGTACGTATGCTACTATCAGAAAATGTGATAATAATCGTTAATCGCAAGTCATTAAAAAGCAATAAAAACTGCATTTTTTTATAATAACTGTGACTATAAAAAATAATAAAATTTTTCATTGAATTTTGTTACTAATTTCTGTAAATAAATATTTGTTGCCTTTTATCATATCGACTGCTATTGTTTATATTAAATATATAATATTAAATATTTGTTGCCTTTTATCATATCGACTGCTATTGTTTATATTAAATATATAATAGTCCGTTAGACCGTTTTGCGACAAAACATAATTAACTATTAGATTAATTTTTATTATCTCAAAACAATTACCAATTTAATTTCAAGTTATTTAACTAAGCTTACTTCTCAGAATTTTAACTTCAACTTCACTTATCTTAAGTGATTGTACATATAATTATTTAAAAACAAATCGTTATTAAAAAGTAGTAATTATTTTTATAAAAACATTTTTTTCTCCTTTTATAAACGCAAAGACTTTGATCAGTGACTTGCAGAAAAATAAGGCTTTTACAAGCAATTAAATTTTAAACATTGATAATAAAAGGTGATCCATTTCAAGATTCCTACTTTTTTTGAGAAAAAATTACAGAGAATTCAAATTTAATGAGAAATGTTTATTATCATTCGAAAGAACATTTTTTGGCATTTATTTCTTGAAGATTATCTCTTTCAAATGTTGGCCGCGGCTACGTCACAGCTGGTCCATCCGTTGAGTCCGATTTTCGATGACTCGTTAGAGCATTTCGACAGGTAACTGGTTTTGCTTCAAGGCCTGAAACGAAGCGAGATTGTTCGCATAGACTTTACATATCCCCAGGAGTGGAAAAGTGTAACGGTGTGATATCACACAATCTTGGTGGCCAATGGACCGGCCCAAAACGTGAAATTATCTGCTCACCGAAGTGTTCTCTCAATAAATCTATTGATTGATACGATGTGTGGGAGGTGGCGCCGTCTTGTTTAAATCAAAAGTCGCCGAGATCAAGAACTTCAATTTCAGGCGTCAAATAGTCGGTTATCATGACGCTATAACGGTCGCCATTGACGGTTAGGTTCTTACCGGCATCATTTTTGAAGAAATATGGACCGATGATTCCACCGGCCCACAAACCACACCAAACCGTTTTTTCTAGTTGAAATGGCAGCTCTTCGTCCCAATTTCGCTTGCTTACATTACCCATTGAGCCAGAAATGGGTCTCAGCGCTGAACAAACTTTGGCTCGAAAACGTCGGATCTTCTCGGAACTTTTTAAGAGCCCAGCGCCCCACTTTTTAAGAGCGAGGCGATATCGCTTTTTTGTACGCTTTCAATTTAAGATGTCGACGTAGAATGCGCCAAGTCGTTCCATACGTCCGGGTTGCTCCAAACGGCGCCGAATGGATTCTCCACCGTCTTCGTGTACACTCTCAGCTACGGTCGCTATATTTGTTTCACTGCGTGCTGGACGCGATTATTATTATGTCAAAAACAGACTATTGAAAAAAGTACCTATGCCTGGATCACCTGTTATTTACATGTAGCTTGTCATTTAAGAGTTAATAGCCTATTTATTGTTGTAGTAAAACTGACCAGCTCTTTTTAATTTTAGATTTATATGTTCTAATCACACTCGGAATCGTTTATTGTTAACCTTTAGCATGTTGTTATTAAATCGTGTCAATTAACTTGTTTTATTTCTAAATCGCCGCACAAGCGCCTGAGGCTGTCATATCGAGCGATTCATTGCACACACGACACGCTAATTTAAAGCCACAACACAATATCATAAATTATATAATATACATACATAATATGTATATGTATACGTATATGTATTACATATACTATTCATCATACATTTGTTGTTTATATCGTGTACTTACTATATAACCCAAGTAATTAATCGGGTACTAAGTTGCACCAAAACACTCACCGCTTTCACTTGCTCCCGAATAAATAAGAACAAATATGGTTAAAAATGTATAAAGGATTTTCCAATCCGCAATTTTATTATAGTCTTTGAAACTATAAAGTTGTTGAAAAACGATGTGAAAATATAGATTTCCGGGGTGGCGCAGAAAGTACTCGGAAGATGCACATACGATGGCGATCGAACGAAAAAAAGTGTCCAGTCGTCGATCCCTTTTGTTGGTTGGGTAGAGTGGTGAGATCGTGGTTGGTACCCCTGATAAATGCATTCCTTTATACAAGTCTTTTATTTTTTTCTTATATCCTGAACAGGGTATATTAAGTTTGTCACGAAGTTTATTACACCCAGAAGGAAACGTCGGAGACCCTATAAAATATATACGGGTCATTCCATTAAAAATTCGACTGATTCTTCGATTCATACATAATCAAGATTATTGTCCGAAACATCGGTGCAATCTCCGAAGTAATTGTTCACATCGGACCACTATAGCATATAACTGTCATACAAACTGAACGATCGGAATCAAGTACTTGTATGGAAAACTTTTGCATAAAGAAATGTTCTTAAGAAAATTTACAGAAATAGCTTTGCTTACGAACTAGATACTTCATACATAGTATAGTGTTTCTTTCTTCTCCAACTTCATCTTCAAAACTTGATGATTGTTAAAGTATTTTACAAGAAGTTTACTGTCCTGAAGAGGAGATCTGGATAAACTCTCGGTTGGTCAAACGATGATTAAAAAACACATCTTAATTCTTAATCGATATTAAAGCTGCCATGATGATGATGAGTAAATATATTTGCGAATAAGAGGGGGCTTATTGGATAAAAGTGGAACATCTAAACGGACTGGCAATATTATTCCTAGGATATGTATGAAGGATCGCTTAATCACACAAGTTTGAGCCCAAAACTTAGAAATATGCAGGGGAACAACCCATTTCTACTTAGCATTAACCAACGGTAATACTGCTTCCGGGGTTTACATTGGAGTATAAATCAAACATAAGTATTTAGCATGAATATTTATAATTAAGATAAATATATTTACAGACACATTTTAAATTTAATAGTTATATTACCAATAATTTCAACTTATAAACATATGTAAATGATTATAGTTGTATGTGCATGTCTACATGCTATTTGGCGCCTGCGTACTGCATATGCAAACTTATATATCATATAATTGTTGCTGCCACTGCCGCGGTCCATTAAGCAGCAATAATTTCGTTTCATAATATTAGTTATAAAATAAAAGTCATAAACCTAACAATAGGTAATTGGAAACTGTATACTAAAAGGAAAGGGTTTCCAATGTCAATGCTAGCGCATAGTGCTTTGTTAGAGAACCGTTATTTCGCGTTAAAATTGTATTGAACTTGAACTACAGACACGGGTACATACCTACATACATATGTAAGCAATTGGTTGCGGCAAGTGAAGGTTTTGCGTGGATCTAATTATAAGTTATCGATATATAATTACTTAGCAGAAAATACAAATACAATACATATATGTATGTACATATGGTTATCGAAATATTTAATTGCAATTCAACAAGTATGTAAAAACTTGAAACATGTAGATCAAATAAATGCTTGTCACAAATATAGATTAAGTTCTCTATATAATATGAGTACAAGTATATACTCGTACACAGACCTTCACAATCCCATCCAGTGGGGTATTATGTACCGCTCTATGCCTCCGCCATTGGCCGAACTGCTCACATTTTTAAGAGCACAGGAGCGTGACATACGTACAATAAATTCTGCCTCCAAACAGCTGATTTAAAAAATTGATCACTTAGAGCGAGATAACAAACGGCACACCTCCCGTCAAAACTACTAAAACTCGTAGCTCTTACGATTTTTGAACGTAGAACTACATTTTACTACATATATTCTCATACGAAAATAATTTTTATTGATAAGGTATTCATATCAGCATTGAATGGGTAGCTATCGGTTCAACTTTAATCATTATGTACTAAATAATGCAATAGGAAATTTTAAATAAATATATGTATATATATTGTATGCGATATACACTCTTTGTTTGTATGACGTAAATGTGTTATACATATTTTTTTCTATTATTATTATAGGCATATATCTATTTTATTTTCTTAATTCTTTTATTTGAAGCTTTGCTCTTATCAGTAGAGATCGTGTTGTTAAGATTTTTATCCAACTACTGAACTAAGTGCGATTTATGATTGTACGAAGCAGATAAATTAAAATTTTTATGGCCGATTTCATAAACCCTTGAGCTTAATATATAAGACTAATGCAAGCTAAGTCACTAAACAATATTAATCCGATTAATAATCTAAATACACAGTTATTTAACGCTTGAATGCAAATAATCAATGTAATAAATACTCGTAGTTAAAACTTCGTAGGATTTATTAACGCAAAGGCTTTTTATGCATATGTGTATATGTAGGACAAGGGTTCTTTTGTAATTTGTTGAAAGACCGATTACCTCTCGATAGCATTTTAATTATTTTTGTATATACTTGTACACAGATCTTCACAATCCCATCCGCTCTATGCCTATGCCTACGCCTCCGGCTGAACTGCTCACATTTTTATAGCACAGGAGCGTGACATACATACATTACATTCTTCTTCTAAACAGCTGATTTCAAAAATCGATCTCTTAGAGCGAGATAACAAACGGCACACCTCCCGTCAAAACTACTAAAACTCGTAGCTCTTACTTTTCTTTTGAACATAGAACTACATTTTACTGCATATATTCTCATACGAAAATAATTTTTATTGTTAAGGTATTCATATCAGCATTGAATGGGTAGCTATCGGTTCAACTTTAATCATTATGTACTAAATAATGCAATAGGAAATTTTAAATAAATATATGTATGCGATATACACTCTTTGTTTGTATGACGTAAATGTGTTATACATATTTTTTTCTATTATTATTATAGGCATATATCTATTTGATTTTCTTAATTCTTTTATTTGAAACTTTGCCCTTATCAGTAGAGATCGTGTTGTTAAGAATTTTATCCAACTACTGAACTAAATGCGATTTATGATTGGGCGAAGCAGATAAATTTAAATTTTTATGGCCGATTTCATAAACCCTTGAACTTAATAAATAAGACTAATGCAAGCTAAGTCACTAAACAATATTAATCCGATTAATAATCTGAAAACACAGTTATTTAACGCTTGAATGCAAATAATTAATGTAATAAATACTCGTAGTTAAGACTTCGTCGGATTTAGATAAACAAATACTTTTCAATCATATGTGCATATATATAGGGCAAAGGTTCTTTTGTAATTTGTTGAAAAACCGATTTCCTCTCGATGGCCTTTGTATTATTATTGTTAAGAAAAATTGCATATGGTTGTTACCTAACACTTAGAGAATACTTATATATGAGTTTTTAGCCGTTACTTTTGTCTGAGGCTTTTACATAACAGAAATATTATATATGTGCTTCGTGTTGTACATAGTCCGTCGAGAAGCCACATACCTCGTATTTATTCCTTTTTTTTACTGATAATAATCGGTTTTTGAAACTCCATTAGTCTGAACTGTGTAGAAGAGGACTCAGATAATTCCTAAATTAAAACTTTTCATTTTGTTACCACGTATTAAGCCAAACTTTTAATGAATTATTTTTTCATTTATTTAATCAAATGAAACGGCAACATTATATAATATAATTTTTATACTCCTTATTTCTAAATTTACGTGCATTATTACTATTTTTAATTTTAAAGAGTTTAGAGGTTTTTAATATGAAAAAATTGAATATCGCGTAGTGATTAGATTTTTTGTTTTGAAGGGTTTAAAAGCAAAGGAAATTTGTGAACAATTGTTAGAAGTGTATAAGGGGACCTCACATTCAAAACGCACCGTTGAATTTTGGGCTGGTGAATTCCACGCGAAGGCGCAACCGCACCAGAAATTATTAAGCAAGTTCATATTATTGTTAGTGAAGATCCAAGTTTGACTAAGCGTGACATTGCTAATGTCATAGGCATCTCACACGAATGAGTACTTCATATTTTACATGGAGAATTGCATATAAAAAAGCTGTTTGGAAAGTTAGTGTCGCACACGTTAATAATTCAACAAAAACTGGATCGAAAACAAATTTCTCAGCATAGTTTGGAGCGTTTTAGGCACAATAATACCGATTTCTTGCGTAGGTTTATAACTATGGATGAGACTTAGATCTACCACTATGATGCTAAATTGCAACAAGAACGTTTACAGTGGACTGAAACCGGTTGTTCAACCCCAAAGCAGGTGAAGTCCCAAGCAAATAAGGTTATGGCATAAGTTTTTTGGGATGCAAAAGGAATTTTGTTGATTGATTATCTATAGAAAGGTAAAACAATCAACTCTGAATATTATTGCTGCCTTTCGAATCAGCTGGATGATAAAATTCGTGAGAAAAGACCTGGTTTGCAGCACAAAAAGAAATAATTTTTCATCAAGACAATGCACCTGCTCAAAAAGGTGTTTTAACAATGACAAAATTCCACGAATTAAAGTACGAATTGCTTGGGCATGCCCTGTATTCACCAGCGACTACTACCTCTTCAGAAACCTGAAAGAAGCTATTACAGCCGTAAACGGGTATTTTTACAGAGTTTTCGGAAAGTCATTATAGGGATGGTAGAAAATTATTGGGGGATAAGTGTATTGACATTAGAGGAGATTATATTGAATAACAAGTAAGGAAGGGCTAAGTTCGGATGTAACCGAACATTTTATACTCTCGCAAAATCAGAGGGTATACTCATTTAAGATTTCTTTATGGATTGACCGATATTTTCGGTAAAAGGTCAACTATAGGCACTGGGGTCCACATATTTAGTACTTAAGGGCTTAAACAGTTTTGGTTAGATTTAGCCAATTTTTGGTCACAAGGTGGCATACTTTAAACGTATTATTCACGCAAAGTTTTACCCCGATATAATCATTGTTGCTTGATATGCATAGTGAAAAGTGAAAGAATCAGATGGAATTGAAAATGGTGTTATATGGGAAATAGGCGTGGTTGTAGTCCGATTTTGCCCATTTTCGCACTATGACATAGAAACATGAAAAGAACGTTATGCACCGTTATTTGGTTGAAATCCGTTAAGCAGATCCCAAGATATGGGTTTTCACCTAAAAGTGGCCGGTGTTACGCCCACTATTTAATTTTGAACGTGGTTCCTATAAAGTCATATTATACCATCCCAGAGATAAAATTTAATTTCTCTGTCTTGTTTAGCGCTTGATTTATCGCGCTTTTAGTAGTTTTTAACAGTACCGTTATATGGGGAGTTGGTCACCCGATTTCACCTATTTTCACACCGTCGATAGAGATGCTAAAAACATTTGTTCCCAGTGAATTTTGTTGTTATATCTTTAGTGGTATAGTAGATATGCACATTAAACTTATTAGCTTAGTTATGACAATTTATTTGTTTTTAATTAATGGCATTTTGTAGGCGTGGCAGTGGTCCGATTACGCCCATCTGCAATACCAACCACAGGAAATATGTGTACCAAGTTTCATAAAGATATCTCAATTTTTACTGAAGTTACAGCTTGCACAGACGGACGGACGGACGGACAGACAGTCACCCGGATTTCAACTCGTCTCCTCATCCTGATCATTTATATATATAATATATAACCCTATATCTAACTCGATTAGTTTTAGGTGATGCAAACAACCGTTAGATGAACGAACCTATTATACTCTGTAGCAACAAGTTGCGAGAGTATAAAAAAATATATTTATATCGTACCAAAAAACAGTATTTTTTCTTTTTGAGCGTAGAAACTTTTCCATCAACCTGTATATTTAAAATTAAAAATATTTATACTTTTATGTATGCAAGTATGTATTTTCAGTTTTTTAATGATTCTAGCAGTTGACAAAAACAATTATATTTCTACATCTCGCACAGTGAAAAAATATTGAATATATCATATGCCGCTTTATCTAATAAATAATTCAAACTGCACATCAATATATCTGTACATCTTTTTACATACATCTATTTTTATGTATATGAAAACGCTTGATCTAATTTTACGCACTACACTGCATAAACACACATACTTGCGTACTGTGAAATAATAATTTATTATTCACGCCTTTAGCTACAATTCGCAACTGTTTGGATTCTCAAGTTCATAGTTTCTACATTATGAATAATTCCTTACACTGTTGCTAATACTACTGGAACACCGGTCACTAGCGTTAATAATACTCATACGCCCTGGACACTTTACCATATAAAACCAAATACACACACACAGGCACTCACCTCAAAGAATTCGACGGTTGCACCATTTTAAATACACAATTTTAATCAGAAATAATAGATCGAACGTCAAGGATAATACGATACCGCGTGTCCTTCTTAAATGTTTGGATTTTCTAGAGATGAGAGTAACAATAAACCGTAACCGGCCGATTCAGAATTCCTACTGAAAATCTAGAAATGCGCGCACCGCTCACACACATCAAATTAAAACCACAAACGCCACATATTTGTCTATATATACACAGTTCAGTTGTGCTCAGGCAGCGACCATTGGCAGCACTGTCGGCGTACGCTATCGCAGCGGCGTAGTTCTACAATCACATAACTCACCGTCAGCGTTTAGTTAGAATATGTCAGGCATTTCGCATTGCTAGCCGGCGTTCGAGCACATTGACGCTATAAACATTTATACAAGTACATTTCTGTGTGTGTGTGAAGACAAGGCAGCGCTGTCGTCATGTTGCGCGCGTCTTTAGAAAAACAAAGCAAACACTATTTCAAATTTAAATGTTTCATGTGCATACATATGTACATATGCCTACATATATACTTGTATGTTATGATTGTGCTATTTAGCTCACATATGCGATGCTTTACTTTTAGTTTTCCGTCTCGCGGTGTTTTCTAATCGGAACGCCCAAGTTTATTAGACGCTGATAAGGCCGGCAAAAAAGTTTTAGGGATACAACAGATGCGTGTGTGCATATGCATAACGGTATATTATTTTTGTTTTGTTGTACAAATTTATAAATATGTATGATTATAATGATTATATAGGGTGATCTATTTCGAGGTTCCCTACTTTTTTTGAGAAAAAAATACAGAAAATTCAAATTTAATGGGGAATGTATATTATCATTCGAAAGAACATTTTTTGACATTTACTTTTTGAAGATTATCTCTTTTAAATATTGGCCGCGGCTCCGTCTCGGATTATCCATCCGTTGAGTCCAATTTTCGATGACTCGTTAGAGCATTTCGACTGGTAACTGGCGAGTGATACGCGTGATGTTTTGCTCCAAGGCCTGAATCGAAGTGGGAATGCCTGCATAGACTGTAGACTTTACATATCCACACAGGAAAAAGTCTAACGGTGCACAAGCTGTATTTTGTAAGCTCTCAGTGTCGAGTCGTTCCATATGCCAGTCTGAGTTGCTGCGAACGGCGACGAATCGACTCTCCACGGTTTTCTTGTACACTATCAGTTACGACCACCATATTTTTTTCACTGCGTGCTGAACGCGGCCTATTCGGTCGAGTTTTATCCAATAATGAATGCTTGGTCTCAAGATGGATGATGGTGTTGCGAATAGTACGCTTAGTATACCGATTATGTTGACATAAGTTGAGCAAAGCGCGCGAAACACATTCTTTACAGAACATGAATTTTCGTAATAAAGTTGATCAATTTGAAAACGTTGTTTCGCAGTAAGGCTTTCGATGAAGAAATGATAAACAATACTGAATAAAAACAATATGACAGCTTGACACGACTCACACGTTATCTGTCAAAAAAGGCTATTGAAAAAAGTACCTTTATTTGGATCACCCGTTTTATAGAAATGTACTCGCCTATTGGTAAAAAAAGTGCCAAACGCACTGATTCACAACTGGAAAGACACGTAGACGCAGAGATAAGAATATCGAAATGTATATTTGTTGACGCTAGTAATATGCACTTTGTCTCTCATACAAGTATTTGAAATATTATCATCAATATTTGTTATGGTACTTCATTCTTGCTGACTCATTAGTAAAAATATATAATATAATAATAATATATATGTATGTGCATACGGCCGATCATTTTGAGGCTTATCACCCATCCTGAAATGGTTTTACAGATCGACAATTCTTTGGGAACAGAACAATACATATTTACTTATCTTCGGAGAAGCAGTTTAGCCACTCTTATTAAAAAGAGAAGAAACCTTTTGCCTATCTTGAAAATTAAGACATAAAAGACAAAACCCTCAAAGGGTTAAATATTATGGTATAGAAGCTGAAGCTGAGGAATGATTAAAAATTTGGAAAGAGAAAGGAGCTCGACTTTTTTTTCAAGTAATATTCCAATATAATCACAATTAAGTAATAGATTAACTTTAGTATGATTAGACGAACTTGACGCTCATCACTGATAGATTAAAAAGTCGAAATATTTAGTACATAAATAGTTCTTAAATTTTTGGGTTTGAAGAGATAGCGGAAAGAGTGAACGAAATTTGGAAAATAGCGATTAAAATATTAATATTTTTGTAGTTACACGCGAACTCCGACGGCGCTTAAAAAAGTACTGCTGCAGGGATTTCGTTCTTCTCTGTGGTTGAAACCTAAAACAAATTCTCTACTGGAAAAAAATGTCCGTACAATAACCTGCGGTCGAAAAAAATCCAAAATTGACAAAATGGCAGCGTTTTTTAAAACAAGTTGCATTTTACTAACAAATATGTCGTTTGTAGCTTTTGATCGGATAAAAAACTGGTAGGCTATTGTATGTACAGAATATGCAGAAAAAATTTGATAATGATCGAATCAATAGTCTCGTAGTAATCACTGAAGCAGATTTGAAAAATGTAGTTTTGAGAAAATTGCGTTTAAAGATAAGCTGATGCAGCTGACTCGCCTGTGTGGCTACACTTTAGAAGGCTGTAGCTCATAACCTTTTCGATATATCGATTTAGAATTTTACAATAGCATGTTTTTTGCAAAAGTATAACCAGACTAAGTGTATCCCTTAAGGACTCGCAGATAACAGAAATCTCACGTTTCCTCAATAAAATGAGCGAAAAAGAAGGAGGAACTTGTTGGTTGTAGTACTAATGCTCTCAATGAACTTTCTAAAGAACACTAAATGACCTTTTGTATTAGAATTTGATCTAAAATTTTTCAAAATGGTAAAATAAACCAAAATAGATAAACAGTACAACCAAATCCATATTGATACTAAGGGCGCATAAATCAAGACTTACCGGAGTACACCGGTTAAATTAATTATAAAGTTTATTTTATTGGTATTAGTCGAAGAAACAGCTATATAATAAGTATAACGAAGCTGTTTAATCTTCAGTTAAGCTGACGACATGAGTATTTCTGCAAAATTAATAAATAATAACGAATTACCTATTGATACTCTTTATTTAGATGTAAAGGAATTTTCCATAGAAACCTGCGAACTGTTTTGTAAAAAACTGTTTTTTTTTTTTTAACAAAAAGCCATTGCGATTCATTTCACAGCATTCCGACTTCGTGATAAATCTCCAATATCTGTCCAAGGATTACGGTAGTCTTCAAATTAAATTGTGAAGTGAAGAATTAAAGTAAATTTTATCAAATTAATATTTATCAGGCTTTTTAAATACTATATATAGTTTTTTTGCAGACTATTTGAGGCGTATAAGATGCAATAAGAACAGAATTACGATCACAATCCAAGTTGGTGGAAAATCATAGCTACAGAATAATCAAATATAGTTCTTAGATATCCAATCGGAACTCATTACGGCTGAAACGTTATCACTTGTGTGCGTGATGAGCTGAGTTGATTTAGCCATGTCTGCCTGTTCGGGCGTCCGTCTGTCCGTCTGTATATATGCAAATTAGCAACCGAAGTTAAATTTTTTTCTTGTTTTCGCTTTTTATTTGGTACTTGACCCAGTTCTTTGCTTAAAATCATGAACCCTAGTTTCTATATCGGAGTGAAAATTTATAATTGTATGAGAAGCTTCTTGATAATACAACTTTACTCAGAGGCTTAGGTATCACCACATGTTATAGAGTTATCAAACGATATGTTCTATGCGCTTCAAACATTTAATCGACAAATTGTTACTCAGACACTAATACATTCTAGTCCGCCTATATAGGTTATATTTATATTACTTATATAATATATATGTACCCAGGGAATATGAGTGACATAATTGAATAGCGAACACCAAACAGACTTTTTAATAACAGTAAATGGGCTGCATCACCATTAAATGGCAAGCATTATAAATAGTTTGCCGCACATGTTACACACAAGTACATAGTATGTTCATAGACATACAGTCATATATATATGCACACCTACATATTATATAAATATATGACAACTGATACGTTGTTTTTGTTGTGCAATATTCGCGCCTTATTTTGTTTGTAAATTGAATCTGGTTTGATGCAGCAGCAAATCATTTGGTTTTCTTCTTTGTTTTTGTTTTATAAAATTTCACTATTTGTTGTTGTTGAACATAAAACAATTGGCTAGTAATCCAAGCGTCCAAAGTCCCTTTCGTTGCTCATTCTAGGAACACATGCACACATGTACATACGAAATTAATTCAGAAACAAATTGATGTGACGCTTATTTTGATTGGTTTGATGATGGTGATGATGAGGAAGAACAAAAAGAACAACAACAATATACTTGTAGTGAAACTAACACGAAATTTACTTTCACAGTCAACGGCGACACCTTAAGCTTTGTTTAGAAGCGCTTGGAGAATATTCAAATGCACAAATTTGTTGCTACATATGATCATATGGATGTGAGTGCGCGAGTATTTATGTTTCTAAGTACGCAAAACAGTTGTTTGAGGTATGCTAAGTTATTTTGAATACTTACATACTAACAAATTTGGGTACGAACTTGCAACATGTGATATACAAAGATACATATTGTATAAACAAAAAAAATTATATATTTATATATATATACATTTACATTTACTTATATATGTATATGCAGGTGCACGTGCCCACTGAAACCAAGTATTTGCGAGGTGACAATAATTTCAATTTCAATTTCCATTTACACTTTAATAAAGTAGTAAAAAAGCGCTAAAAACAAATAATTCATGCTTGCCGCTTTGTTGTGCTAGTATTGTTACATAAATTACATATATGTATATGTGTGCCGGCGTGTATGTACCGTACACCCTGACGTGTTGATCTGCGAACTGTTGATCTCCGTTGAGTGCGCCACTTTGTTTACATGTAGCAATAACTAGTTGAATATTTACGCGTATATTGCTGTTATTGTGTGTTGTTGTTTGTTGTTGTTCGTCAGCCCCACTGAAACAGACGCTTATTATTTTGCATGACGCATGCAACAATGCCGCCTTTCGGCGGGGTTGAATGAGTATGCATAACTGTTGATGACACAGATGAACTTTTTGGTTACTGGTAGTTTGGTTATTTAAAATAGGTGTATATTTAACGGTTTTTTTCTTAACAATAGTAACGAAAACGTCTCGGAGAAATAATATTATACTTGTACTATTTGAATTGTAAGCGATACATGAGAGAAGAATTTGTACGATATTTCTAAAATTCTGAAATTTACATAATAAAATAGACATAACCTTTCATCCCATCTCACAAAATTTGATTATCTATCAAAATTATCTTATTTTCGATTTGATTATAAATAATCTGTTCTGAAGTTGTTTCTCTCCGTTTTAGGTTAGGTTGTTTTCAACAAATCTAACCTAAGCCATAGAGAAAAAACTGCAGGCCGGTTGAGCTGTGATGAAATGAGGGCAGGTAAACGAATTTCAAACATTTCATGAATCTTCTAAAGCTTGTAAAGCAATGCGGTGTCTCAACTAATTCAATCTAAAATTTAATTTACGGTATTTTGGAGTGGTAGCATAAATCATATCATCATAAGTATTAACTCATCTCTGCTTCAGGATAATAATGTGTGTCGATCCCGTAGCCGGGTGAATTCATTAAGTGATTACCATTAGTTATTAGTAATTAGTATTGACAGATCGCCGATTGAAAGTGCATGAGATAGCTGGGATGGCATACATCTTTTATATGAAATATTGGCCGTCAGAAAGCTGTCGGCGATAGTTGCCGTGCTTGCTAATTTCGGATAACAAGCGCAATCGTGAAATACAGTAGTATGTGGCACTGTTTGTTCCTGAAACAGGAATAGGAACAGACACCAAATAGCAGTCGAAACAATGAACTTAAACTAGCGAACCTACTCCGAAAAATACGAAGGCTGTCCTATCGGCCGGAAAGGAGATTGACACCACTTTCTTGGAAATTGCAGAAAAAACGAAACAACCAAAGTCGACCTGGCCTCTTACATTATACCTCTCTTTATCGTTCCTCCATTCAGTGCAGTTTCAAATTTTAAACCAGTTTTGCCATTTTGAATGAAATGTCTTTTAATGCTCTACCATTTTTTATCTTCTATAGTAATAGTCTATAGAGAATAGAAAATTGCTTCTTGCACATTTCGTCTTACATTTTCAATTGTTTCAAAATATTTGAATAGTATAACTGTAAACTTATATTTGTAATGTTGAAAAGAATGATACAGTGGCCGTCTCAGATGGTAAGCATTGTCCAAAGGCTTGCAACAGCAACGGTTCGGCCCCAATAGTGCCCATAAAATCCTCTATTGAAACCTGAAAACCATAAACCAATTATAATTCTTTATATATTTGATATACACGTATACACAAACAAACTTTAAACACAAAGAAATAAATGGTATACAAATATAACAAAAATATTATGTTTATTTTTTAACTAATCGACAGTAAATTACCTTGCCATCCTTGTCTAAATCGAATTTTTTCAGCACAATTTCCACCAAATCTTTAACACCCTCATCGGGATCCTCGTCTTGTGGTTGTTTGATAAGGCAGTTGCGTAACAGTGTAAACATCTCATCCTTCGTGATGAACCCGTCGCTATTCAAATCGTAGACGCGAAAGCAAAAGTTTGCGCGCTCCCCTAATGATCCACGTAGGAATATCGACAAGCCGGTCAACCAACCCTCCAAACGCAATGGCAGACCCTCGTGGGCGCGATCCCAACAACAAAAGATGCGTTCCATGAGAATTTCTTCGGTTACAATATCGAATGTGCTGTGCAGCAGCTCGCGGAACACAATGCGATCAATACCCTGTCGGAGTTCAGAATATAATAAAATTCTTATCTAATAATATTCAGTACTTTGTAAAATAACTAACATTTTTGACTATTAGTACTAAATATAAAATAATTAAAAAAAAATGTATTTAACTTATACTTGATAATTGTAATTGTTTTTTGATTATTTCTACCTCCGCTGTTGCATGCGGTTTCACTATTGCCGCACTGGAGCTGCCGGTTGCTAACGTTTTTGCTGCATATTGACAATTTGATACGAGTTTGCGATAAATTCGACACAAAGCATCGATTTCATCTCTGCAAATAATTAAATAAAAAGTTGATCAAATTTTATTAGGAAATGCAAAAGAGATTTATTTAAATATGGATAGGTTAAATAAAAAGTTGGATTAGTTTCAGTCTAGTCTTTCGAAAAGTTTTTCGGTTAAATATTCGTACAGAAGTTACTCATACGCCATGTAACAGCAATTGAAAGCAAAATCTTGCAATTATAAGGAAAAATTGATAATTTTTAATGTTATATTTCGAATTTAAATTGAAAATAATGTAAAAACCTAAATGAGGGATATCTTTTCCGGCAATAAATTCTCTTGTTTTGAATACTTTTGATGTCACCAGCATTTAATGGATTCAATTTCGAAACTAATTGGAACATTTGTGCTCGATATTATGACTCATCTCAATTTAACAAGATAGCAAATGAATTGATCAAATCTTAAGGCGTTTAGAATTTAATTTATTTTTTGACAGTCTTCTAAAATGTAGCCGTTTTTCGAGATTGTCTGGAAACTATAGTTTTCTAATTTGCTGCAGTGATTACTCGGAGACAAATGATCCGATTATTATAAAGTTTTTTTGCACATTCTGTATATTATTTAAATACACTGACCAACCAGGCATCTTCTCTAGAATTGAATTTTTCTAAATCACCACAATTTTACGACATTTTGTCAATATTTGGTTTTATTTTTATACCCTTTAAGGAAACGGCGGAGACCCTATAAAATATATATATAAATGATCAGCATCATGAGCTGAGTTAATTTAGTTATGTCCGTCTGTCCGTCCGTCTGTATATACGCGAACTAGTCCCTCAGTTTTTAAGCTATCGATCGATATGAAATTTTGCACCTGCCCTTTTCTCACCAAGAAGCTGCTCATTTGTCGGAACGGCTAATATCGGACCACTATAGCATATAGCTGCCATACAAACTGAGCAATCGGAAGCAAGTCCTTGTATGGGAAACTGTTTTATTTGACGAGAAATCTTCACGAAATTTGGTATGAGTTCTCTTTCAAGGCAATAATGTAATCTCCGAAGAAATGGTTTAGATCGGATCACTATAGCATATAGCTGCCATACTTGTATTAACTGAACTATCGGAGTTAAGAGCCTGCATGGAAATTTTTTTTATTTGACGAGGTATCTTCATGAAATTAGATTGGAATTAAGTTATTGTAAGGAACCTCTGTATCTGTGAAGGGTATTATAGTTTCGGTGCAACCGTTACTGTACGGACAATATCTGCTTGTAAAATTTTTTTTTTAGTTTCATCCACGGAGAAGGCCGTAATCACTGCATTAGCGGAGAACTTTGTTTGTTAGTGTAACTCGAAAAATATTTAATGTTATTCTTCGAAATCTTTACTATGTATTCCTAAAATATACAAATACGTATATACCCTAAAATTTTTAAAACATTTGATAAGTAGTTTACTCTTTAGTTTCCTAAAATCGCCGAATCCATTTCTCTTTCCTACTTTTTAATCATTCTGTAGCTCGCACTACATTCTATAGCATTATTCCGATACTCAAAGCTGCTAAAATTTTAATAATCAGTTGTATAAGAGGAATAAGTTATAGTTGTTCAATTTTTGTTTATTTTCACTGTCATTGTTAAGTATGTATTGGAGGAAAATTCCGTATACCTTACCGGTATAAAAAATCTGAACAATCGGTTGTATGGGTGAAATATGTTATAGTTGTCGGATCTGACCGATTCCGACAAATGATCAATATAATATTGAAATGCATGTATGTGTATATGTATGTATTACATTTCATTCAGATATCTCAAAATCCGACGAACAAATTTTAATGATCCCTAAAAGCTAAACTTCGTCTTAAATATCACATATGCGATTCCGTTTTTTTGACTCCCTGTAAATCGACCCGCTTTATTGCCTGAATTGACTGAATATCCGTGGCGACAAGGCGTATACGTTGCTACTTCATCACAAACTATTTGCACTAATTAAAAGTTACTCATATGAAACGTCACGTTTCACTTCCTAAATTTTTTGTAACAATTAAATGTGGTAATTAATTACATATTACTTCAAATACTTTTTCGCTATAATAATGAGGCTTAACATGTTTTTAATTTGTTATTTAAATTTTATAACTCTGCACTTGCACTCACTTGCTGAACTTTGTCTTTTTACGTAAATTCTCTAGCAACTTCGGATTAATTTTGCCGCTCAACTCGTCCATCTTGCGCTGGCGACGTTGTCTATTCGTCTGTTTGGCGCGCATTTGTGCATTGTAGGAGTTGCGTTTGTTGCTCGCCAAAAATGCGGTAATGGTCCTCAGTATACATTTGCTGGTGTGCAGTGCTGACTTCTCCTTGCCCGCCGACTTGTCTTTAACCGTCTGTGGTGGGCGTACGCCGTTAGATGGCTCACCGGTTGGTGTGCGTTGTGCAGCGCCGTTGCTGTTGCTATTGCCATTACCAGTGGCGACACCACCGCCACCTCCAGCTGCAACCTTCACACCTGAAGCTGTTTTTGTTACCAATGCAGGAATAAAAAACAACAAAAAATACATTACAAAAAGTGTTACCAAGAATACATTTATGCATACGTTTATGTTGTAAGTGAAAATATGAGGAACAAATAAAGTAGTAAAAATCGCATAAAAATTGACAAGTCAGGAAAGTAGTGTACAAAAACAATACCAAATATCGCCTAAATGCGCGTCAATCATGCAATAATGACAGCAGACAGCAGACAACAAATCGCCTACAATAAAAACCAAAAATCAGACTCTACCGCACACACCACCACACATGTATGCCATCGGGTATGAATATTTCGAATTTCATATTGTATCGCTATTTGCGCTTGATTGATATCAAACTTCCTTTATATCAGAGTCGCGCCAGCCTACAAATTCCCGCCTAATCAACATACTAACTGCCTCAAATTCTATCTAAATACCTGCATGCATGCACATGTGTATTGTCTGTCTGCCTAACTGTTAAATATATGCATGCTACTATTAGCCGCTTTGCGCCTCCTTCAAATAGCATGCTAATTCTCCATATGAAGACATTTCTGTAGCGTGACGATTGAATGGCAGCAAAAGTAAATGATTTTATTAGCTGGTGCTCACACCTCTCCGCCAACCGTCGACATATATTTGGATGTATTGAATATATTTCACATGCACCTCTACTCACGAAAAGAAGTCACAGCCCTAGGCTCTCTACTGCCGCCTAAAACTATGCATTGCGAGTGCTTGAATAATGTTATTAATTTGTTGATTTCATACCGAAAAGGAAAAAAAGTAACCATTTAGCATATCACAGGCGAGTGATTGTACACATGGTTGTTTGTATGTACATATGCAGGGGTGATGACTTCAGTGTGTGAATAATGTTGTTATGTATAAAAAAAAAACGTTCCTTGAAAAGTAAATTTTCTGCAGACATATGCTTGCATTATTAGGGCAGCTCGTTTTCTCAGATACTTTTACTCAGAAAAAAAGTGTGTCTGGTCCTAATAATATCTTATGAACCCGCAAGCCACATTTTACAAATTTAAATAACCGAGCGAGTTCGTATTTCAAAACTTGACGAATAAAAAGAACAATCGATGAGTTGTATATTTGATTTAATTTCCTAAGACGGATCGACTCTGAAGATGGAATTACATTTTGAGAACTCAATAAATACTATTTCACATTAATTATAAAATATAACATCGAATTAAATATTTTCCATTTTGAAAAGCTTCTTATTAATAAGTTCGCTATATTTATAAAGAAAATTAAAAAAATTTTATTGTAGTAATTTTTAAAAGTTGCACTTTTGATGTATGAAAAACTGTTATTTAGTTTATAGTAATTTCAATATGTTTTTAGATTATAAAATTTACAACATAATAACTAAATTTTCGTATAAAAGATTTAAAATATTGTAAATAAAGCAACAAAATTTGTTTACTTATTTTTATTGCTTTAATGTGCAAATATTTATATTATAATAAAACATACGAAACAAATTAACCCAAATATAAATATTCACTCTCAAGTTGCCTTTGACAACCTTGCAGTATGTTCACTAAACTTCTCAAATTTCTGTGCATATACCTCTAGCATAGTCATACATACTATAATACTTAGCACTCTAATGCTTATCAATATTAGTTCGCCTAATTTCTCGGCTACTTGCTCGAAACACTTCCCTACACATACTTAAGTGTTTGGTTTCATGCTGTCATAGTTTCGAAACTTCTCTAGAAGCAGCAACACCATCACCTGGTGGCAAGCTTAGCACTCAGGGTTCACTAAACTTTTTAATTTGCTGTTTTCTGTGCAACTAATTTCAACTATACGAGAATAAAGCCATCAACAGTCGGCGTAAACAGCAGTCGGAAGTGTTTTGGAAAATGACGTTTTGTCCAATTGGCGCAGGAGTGTGTGAACTAATTAGCGAACTTTAACAATTAATTAAATCACTTGAAAACTTCTTTACAAATGTGTGTAAGTGGGGAGATTGGATGTGATAATTAAACTGAAATGAATAAAACAGTAACTATTTACAGTTGTATATAAGTTTAGTTGATTTATGGAATGGAAAGAAAATTAATATTTTATTAGTAACTATAGTGATGTTAAATTATGTGAAAATATTGTTTAACTTTTAATAAAACCGAACTTCTTGCGCAAAACTAAAAGTAAAAGTATTTTTCACTGCAATTATGTTGTTTTGTAAGTACGAGTATATCAGCTGTAATATGAGCAGAGACACCGTGGCGTATACGTTGCTACTTTATCACCAACTATTTAAACTAATTAAAAGTTACTCATACGCCACGTCACTCATACAACGAAAAATCAAGTTAATAAACATTTTGTTAACACTGGAAAAAAATCTTGGTTTATTAAATGTAAAAATATTCAGTTTAAGCGAAGTTGTGGTAATATTGTTGTAACGTGTAAGTAATTAAAGATACCGTCAGCAGCTTAAGCAGTTTCAGTGATTTTTTTTACAAGCATTTACCCTTATAACTGAATAGAACCTCACCCTTTAGTATCCTACTTAGGTATTTATAATATAACATCAATTAAAAGGATTTTATGGAACTGTTCGAAGAGTTTTTAGAGTGCTGTTATTTGTATGGAGAGCGTGGTTCAAAAGAATATCAATGAAGATAATGTGGCTAAGAAGGTAAATCATATATTTTACCGTAAGACCTCGTCCATTTGCCATTATATCGAATAGAAAGTAAGTGGTTTGTATATTGTAATGGGTCAACAACTATTATCTGTTTTTTAATCAAAGCCTTTTACTTTTAAATATGGACATAGATTTCGCAAAAATTATTCTTTCAAAAAGGAAAATGAAACACTAATTTAGTGTCTGAAATTGAACTTTTCTTTCTAGCAGATGACCAAAACCATACCTTATTATAAACAAGTAAGGAAGGGCTAAGTTCGGATGTAACCGAACATTTTATACTCAAATGATATACTCGTTTGAGATTTCTTTGAGGATTGACTGATATTTTCGGTAGAAGGTCAACTATAGGCACTGGGGTTCACATATTTAGTACTTAGGGACCTGAACATTTTTGGTTCGATTTAGACAATTTTTGGTCTCAAGGTGGCATACTTTAAACGTATTATTCACGCAAAGTTTTACCCCGATATAATCTATGTTGCTTGATATGCATAGTGGGAAGTGAAAGAATCAGATGGAATTGAAAATGGTGTTATATGGGAAATAGGCGTGGTTGTAGTCCAATTTCGCCCATTTTCGCACTATAAAATAGAAATATGAAAAAAGCGTCATGCACCGAATTTGGTTGAAATCGCTTAAGCAGATCCCAAGATATGGGGTTTCACCTAAAAGTGGGCGGTGCCACGCCCACTGTCTAATTTGAACGCGGTTCCTATAAAGTCATCTCATACCATCCCAGAGATAAAATTTAATGTCTCTGGCGTGTTTAGTGCTTCATTTATCGCGCTTTTAGTAGTTTTTAACAGTACCGTTATATAGGGAGTGGGCGGAGTTGCCACCCGATTTCAACTATTTTCACACTGTAGGTAGAGGTTCTAAAAACATCTGCTTCCAGTGAATTTTGTTATTATAGCATTAGCGGTTTAGGAGATATGCACATTAAACCTATTAATGGCGAGACCACGCCCACTTTAAAAAAAAGTTTTAACTGCAGATGCCCCTCCCTCATGTGATTCTGTGTACCAAATAACAGTCTTCTATCTTATTGCGGAGCTTAGTTATGGCAATTTATTTGTTTTTGATTAATGGCATTTTGTGGGCGTGGCATTATAAAAAGCACAGAAACCAAAGCACTGGTCAAGCAATAAAACACTTTCAGATCCAAATTCAATTGGGCTCAAAGCAATTCTGCTCTATGAGTTTTTACGTAACAGAAAATTTCGGAAAATGTTACCGAAGAAAATGAGGGATCTGAACTAAAAATTTATTGTTAATGTTTAAAATGGTTTTCTAATCTGACCCTATATAATTGAAAACTTATCTTAGAATCTTTGCCTATTTAAATATCTCCCAAATAATTTACTATATCCTGAACAGTGAGTATTAGGTTTGGAAATTTCGGATACGCTATAAAATATGTATATAAATGATCAGCTGAATCGATTTAGCCTTGTTCGTTGGTCTGTTTGTATGTATATGGTCACGCAGTTTTTGAAATATCGAATTGAAATTTTGCACACGTCTGTGTTCGCATTTAGGGTGCGATGATCATTTGTCAGAACCGCCGGCATCGGATCGCTATAGAATACGTATAGCTGTCATACAAACGGGTCGACCTAAATGAAGTCTTTGTATGGAAAAGCTTTTTATTTGACGAGATATCTTAACGAAATTTGGCATAGATTAGTGTCGAAGGCAAAGGTGCAAACTCCGAACAAACTGTTCAGATCGTAATATAGCATATAGCTGCCTTTCAAACTGACTGAAGGTTGTTTATATCAAACAACGTGGCAAGAAAGAGCTAGCATAGAGCTTTCTGTTGGATGCAAACCGTTGGCTGTTTACGTGTTCAGATTTAGTTTTACATATAGTTGCTATAAGAAATTGACTTATTAAGGGTGTTTGTGTCCATGCTGTTGAAGTTAACGTGCTTTCTTGTTTGCTTTGCATTTGACAGATTTTTGTAAATATATTCACTATTTTTATGAAATTGATTTTTACTTTCGACACATACATTCACACAATAATCCCTTCACTGGTGGTTAGTTCACTTGCCCAATTCTTTAAAAACCAAATTTAATTTAATTTTTGCCAAAATAAAATTATCTATATTTCGCATGAGTATAATAACCATTTCACAGAAAACTTTATTATAAAATCGACGTAACTATTCAAGCAAAAAGTATTAACTTTTTTAGTTTTTTTTTTTTAACTGATTCAACCAAACTCACCCATTTTGCGTAGTTTGATATTTCACAAAAATTCCTTTACACTCCGGTACAACAAAGCGAAACCCTACTTTTGTTGTAAAATAAACAAATTTTCCGGTTTCCATGGAAATTTTATGCAAAAAAAAAAAACTCGCAAAAGTAATGTTAACTGTGGCAAGTAGGACAAATTTTTCCACTTCATTCGCATAATATACCGTTGAATGAGTTAGGGTAGGACAACAAGTCGATATGCTTCGTTAAAGGGAAATGCCGATGCAACGATTGAGCATAGTTGTTGCTCCTGACCTGGCTCTGCTATATTATTGACAAAACGAAATGGTTTTCATAACAAACCAACCTTCCACAAATATTTCTTATATACAAGTACATATAAGTATAAATAAATACAAACTTTCCAGGCGCTTTGGTATTCAGCACTTAATTCAGCTATCAGTCTTTTGAGCTGAATAAGTGCTGAAAGCCAAACACATAAAAAGACCGTAACTACTAGCAGACCCGACATGGGGGTAGTTGCTGATTCCCCTCTGTCCCGGAGTTCTCGAAGCGGCCCGTATTTTCCCTTAAACATTGGAAAATATCAACATTCCTTAGAAAGATTGCGGTGGACAGAGCTACTACAATGGTTGTAATATGAGCGGTAAAAATGAAAGAGCGCAAAATCGCAACCAACGTAAAAATTCTTCGCAGTTCTGTCGCCAAGTGGGGTCCACAAGCTGAATTTGACTGGAGTTCCTGGAGACCTTGCTGAATGTGTCCTTGACCAACAACATTTTTTGGTGTCGTTCGAAAATGTTAAAATATTTTCAGTAGCAAGAAAATTCTGAAATCCAAATGTTTTGATAACTCATTTCAAAAATGTCTACTGCTAATTGCTACGCTAGAAATTTTGAAAGCACAAAAAAAAGAGCAGAGAAAGAGAAAATTTATTGCATAAAAAATATATAAATATTGTAATAATAAATAAAAAATTAATATATGTAAATATTTTTTGTAATTTTGCAATTTTTATTCAATTATATATTTTTTTAAATATCAGTTAGTAATATTTATCGCCACTTTCGTTCATTTATGTATGTAATTGTTTGTATGTTTCACAGTTGTTTTGTTTTTTTTTTTTATTAATTTCTTATTATCATTATACATTTGTTGTAATTAGCATTTTCGTTTCAATATTTTATTATGCTCGCTATTTTGTCTTTTGTTGTTGTTATATTTCTTTGTTTGCTCTTATTGTTTTGTTTGTGTGAGTGAGTGTGTTTCTCATTATTACTTTATTATTAAATATAATTGCTAAAACTGTTAGTTAACATCTAAATATTTATTATTTGTTGCTTTCTTATTACATCCATTTTGTATTCATGTTGCATTTTCATAATGTCGTTATTTATTTAATTTTAATTATTATTTTTTGTAAATTTACTTCAGTTTTTCTTGTTTTTGTATTCTGTTTGTGTTTTATTGTATTGTGTGGTTTTTGTTTTGGTATTTGTATTTGAGTTTTTTTTTTGTATTTTGCTGTAGTTGTTGTAATTTGTAATTGCTATTTTGAAAACTGTTTTTTTTGCTCTCTCTGCCTCTTCTATTTCTATTTTACTGCAATTTAAATATTCCGCTTAAACAATTTGGCGGTTCTACTAACTGTAAATAACTTGCTTACATTATTATTTTTATTATGTAAATTATTATTAACTTTATTGTTTCTTTTTTATTTTACTTAAATAAAAATAAAAACTTCTTTATTTTTGTATTTTAAAATTATCTTCTGTGTTTTGAAGTTTCTTAAGCTTATAAATATCTATAACTGTGTATGATTAAACCACAATGTAATAATATTAATTAAATTAAATTATAATATATTTGTATATGTAAGTATTTAATATTATTGTTATTAATAAAATTCTAATATTAAGTCGCATGAGCGTGACATACATACATAAGTATGTATGTCTATACACCCATATATATTTGTTTTAATCCAGTGTTGTCCCGTTGAGTCGCTTGTTTTTGTTTTTTTAATTGTTTTGATTTGCGTTTTCTTTGTTGATAAAGGATGTCATCATTATTATTGCGTTGTTTTATGTTAGTAATGTTAATGTAATAAAAAAAAAAAACATTAAGATTCAAATTCAGAAAAAAATTAATATTCAAAAAAATTTTAAAAAAAATTGGAAGTGAAAGTTTTCCATGTTAAAATTTTATTAAAAAAAAAAAATTAAATCAAACAAATACTAGGATAGATTAGCTTATGTTGAGAGGTCGATCCTGGGAGGGTGAATGCCGGTTCGTTGTGGTACGTAAAAAGCTCCTGTACATGTACTGGATCATAAACCCTTAAAAATCGACAAAGCTTTTTGAGCTGTCACAATTTGTTGAGACAGCTAATACCAGTTCTGGCTATGTCTTCTGGTTTGCCGTTTAAACCATAAAATTTCCAAAAAAAAAAAAAATAAATAAAAATTCTTAAACAAAATTAAATAAACAAAAATTCCAAAAATAAATAAATAAAAATTCAAAACAAAGATAAAAACTCGAAAAAAAAAAAATAGATTAAATAAAAATTAAAAAATGGCTAAAAAAAATTTTAAAATTCAATTAAAAATATAATAAAATATAAAAATTTCAAACAAATATATTAAAATGTCAAAAATATGTAAAAGTTCTCCATGTTAAGCAGCAGTTTTGAAAAGAAAAGGAAAATTACTTATTTGTTTCGTTGTTTCTTGGGCGTGGCTACGTATGTATGTACAATACATATGTGGCGTGAGAATATAAAATGTTTATTGACAAAAATGTATAAAAAAATTAAAAAAAACAGGAACTGGAAAACTGTCTATTAATAAAATTAACAAAAAAAAATAGTATTAATTAAATCTTTCGCCTTATTTTATTTTATTTTTTTTTTTTGTAAAAAAAAAAATCATATTTGAACGAAAAAGAACAAATCAATGGAAATGGATGGTTTTTGACAATAATAATAAGAAATATATAATAAAAAAAACTGAAATTAAAAAAATGTTTGTAAAAAAATTATATTTTAACGAAAATAGAAGAAGTCAGTGGATGCTTTAATACACATTAAATATTGGCGCAAATTTTTTTGAAAGTATTTTAAAAATTATCTACATATGGCGAATTTATATTCAAAGCTTAATGCGCATATTTATACGTTAATTTAAACTTTTTTTTCAGTGCTATTTAGGATATTGTCCGTTATGTAGAAATTGCACAATATATAACAAATCCGGGAATATGGCAAAAATACGGGAAAATTTAATGTATGCACCTATAAGTATTCCTTACTATAGCAAGCTCTTTGTGTACTACCGCAATAAAATTTTTTTTATCTATTGCATCTTTTAGGCGCTCTAGTTCCACATTTAGTTCTAGAACACCAAATGTTAAACTAATAAAAAAATCATATTCTTTAATAAAAAGTTAAGTTAGTGAATTTTGTACTCACAAAATAATATATGTATACAGTATGTATATGTACATATGTATGTATATTCAATTATTAAGCCAGCGGCAACTCTTCATTTTCGAAATACTTTTTAGGGTATAACGTAATTATTTTAATTTCCCTTTTTTTGAACTTGAATTTCAATCATGGAAAAACTATGGACTTTCGGTTAGTTTGAATACATTCCACAACCTAGTGCTTCTTAAAGGCATCCACAGCGTTTCACAAAAAATAACATCAAACAAAAATTTTTAATTTTGTTCAATTATTTTTTAATCTATTTCGAAAGACTTAGAATAATTTTTTGCATTTGTTTGGTTTTATTTATATCTTGTTATGCTTTTCTTCTTTGTTGTTGTTGTTGCATTTTGCAAACACATACCAAATCATATATGCAAAAATGTACTAATTAGATTACAAAAACAAAAATAAAATAAAAACAAGTTAAAATCATTAATATGAATGTTTTGAATGGCGACTTACGAGTTACAAAGGATCAGAGCTTAAAATTATATAATTTGCCAATATTCCAAATGTGCTTAAATTTACAACAATTGAATTGAATTCAAATTTGACATAAAACATAGATTTCCTTCTGTGTGCGCAATGTGATGATTGATATATGCATGTATGGATTTGTATATGTATTGGTATTGTTGTAGTTTTTGCTGCTATTTTCCCATGTTTTTTTTTTGTTGCTGCTGTTCGCGACTGTTAACTGCATACTCCGCATGCTGCTGACTTTCGGCAGCAATCGTCTGCTGACTCTAGTCGCTTAGTTTTGCAATTGCGGTTGTTTTTATTGTTGTTCATTGCAGTTACGTGTTTTTGTTGGCCAAAGCAAGGATCATGCGCTGCATTTCTGCAATTCTGATGTGTGCGTCTCCCCTTGGGAGGCGTGTTGTGCAGTTAAATTGAATTCTGAAATTTCGCAGCTGGTATTGTTGCTGTTGTTGTTGTAGCCACACGCTGCCCACTAACTGCCAGGCAGGCACTTAGCCATTCGGCTTGACATTGACATTGGCCTTGTTCTTGCTGGCACAACTCCTGGCTGGCTTGTGTGTATGTGTAAGTGACAATGTCAAAGTTTTGGAATTCTGCACGTCGCTATTGTTTTTGTTCTTGCTATGCAGCGCTTTAAGCTGCTTTTGCCTGTCGCGTGGCAATCAGGCTCCATTATTGCTTATATGTTTGTGCATGCACGCACACAAATACACATCATTATCTCATTTAACGGTTTTCGGTTTTCAAAATTGTAATATTTCCTTTTCATAATCCATTATATATGTACGTATGTATGTATATTTTATTTTCTTTTCACTTGCTTCGTTTAATTTAGTTGCTAGGTAGGATTGTAGTATGCATGTATGTATGTGTGTGTGTGTGTGTGTATGTTTTTAGTTTACGTAGTAGGTAGTATGCGTGTGAGTGTGTATATGTTTTTGTATTGTTTTTTTTTTTCCTTTTTTCTTTTTGTATTTTAGTATTTGTGTTTATTTAAATGTAATTCAAATTCATATAATTAGCTTAACCATAAACCGATATTATAATTCCATATCACGGGCCTCGTCTTCACTATAATCCGACATGCTCGACTCGCTGTCGCTGCTCTCTCGCTCCTGTTGCGCCGCACGCAACGCCTCCTCGGTGGCGTAGCGTTGCACATAGTCGGCCACTTTGCGATGATACTCCTCCGGTTCGTGCAAGTACAACGCCGCTGCATCACGATTCAGCGGATCAACTGGATTCGGATATGTCAGCAATTGTGGTAGAAATGATTCGAATATATTTGAGAGATCATAAAGTGCTGTCCAAGCCTGATTGATCACGTCCAGACACACAGTGCCGGACGATTCGTCGATATTCGGATGGTAGATTTTATTCACGAACCCTATACTTGGCGATTTGAATGGGTAATTGTCGGGCAGGTAGACGCGCACCTTCCATACGCCACCCTCATAAGGGGTCCCATGTGGTCCGAAAAATTTCACATGAAACTCATTTAGGCCACCCAAAATGGTCACCTCGTGCTTGGATTCAATTAACTTGATGACGTCATTGTCCATGCGTCGCTTACCAGCGCTAGGTGAGGACATCTTACAACAACTTTATCGAGCTTCCACGTCACCGTCTACACTAAATGTCAAGGTCGCCTTCACCAGAAACGCTATTTAATTTCAGCAGCCAAGTAGTGTTCGCTGGGGAAGTCGTTGTGGTGCGTCAGTTGTCGTGTTCGACTTCGGCTTGTGAGTGACAGCTCGCAAATATTTATTTAACTGTATGTGTAGTAGTGCGCCTTAAGCCGCTGCCGCTCCAGCTGAAAATGAGAAATCGGTGCAATGAGTTGGTGGTCCCGACAAAACAACAACAGCTACAGCAACCGATTTCTCAGCACGTGCCTCAGATAAGCCCTGCCGTTGTAATGGTTTTAGTTTGCTGATTTTTGTTGTTGAAACTGCAATGAAACAAATGGAGAAATGTTTACTTATTGAAGCAAAAAACCAAATGCTAAACTTTTGTCAAGAGAAATTTCGAAATTATTCAAACAAATACAGTGAGGAAGAGAGAAAGGAGTCATGTGGAAAAAAGTAATTTGTATGAAGAAGTGTTGTATTTAGGGTGATTGTTTTGGTTGCTACTGGCACACAAGAATATAACAAATATAAGGTGCGTCTGCAAGACCCGTTAGGACGGTGTTTAAATTGTCGGAGCAGAGAGCATGACTCTTCAAATGCTTCAAAAAAGAAACTTTCTTAGCGAAAAAAATGCACACAACATAATGTTATGGTAAAATACTTTGTACAATGATGAGTAAAATATTGTACAATACAATACTTTTTTTTGCGGTTAATAAATAAATTTTGAGGTTCGAAAAATTTATAAAAATTATTATGAGGTTAATAAAAAAAGTCAATACATTCATTAACTCAATAAATTATTTAGAATAAAAATTAATTAATAACGCATTTCGCTATACCACATTACATTAAGGTCTGGTTTTCAAATTACATTGGAAATCAGTTCAAATTGAAACTCTGAATGAGCCCATCGCATTTTGTCCAAGACTAGACTAGATGATAAGCCCGTGAGCATTTTTGTGAGTCACTAATCGGTAGCAAAAAAAAAATCTACATGCTACACCAAAATTTCGTTCACATATAAACAAATTTTATAATTCTCATCCAATTTATGAAAATCGAAAATGTTGATATTATTTTAAAACTTTATTTGAATAAGTTGGCGTTTCTGAAGAATTTTTAATAAAGTGTATATTTGCAGAATTTAATGTACTTTATTAATCGAAGATTCGTAGCCGATATTCAAAAGGACCTCCATAAAAAGGTGTCTGGCGTTGAGAAAGATTTTTCGACTTAAAATTATCTCAGTTTCAAAAATCAAAAATTTATTACTGCAGATTATTAGATGCAGATGGTAATGATCGAAGGACTAGTCAAAATATAAATTTAGACAAAATGACGGCTTCACAAATAAAAAGAGTTTTTTGGGAAACAATTTACAATTTAATATACTTTTAATAGGTGATGCGAAACCTCAAATAAGGGATCAAAACTTCCTTCTAATAAACAAGTTTTAGTAGTTTATGCTACGAGATTCGTCAATTGAATTAACTGTTAATGAATGTGAAAATCTCAGTATTCGCGAGTGCATTATGTATTGGCAATAAAGTCGTATTATTACAAAATCTTTTTCTAATAGTGTAAACAAACTTGTGATTTTATATCAAGTTTAGGATTTGCAAAAAAAAAACATGCACCAAAACCCAAGGCCAGAGTTTGTCAGAAACTTGGACAATTTGTTTGATATTGCGGCGATATAAATATGTATATCGCGGAGTCAACCATCGACATCATATGATCTTATACAAGAAGACTCATCTAATTCAAACGCAGACATAATATCGTTGCAAGAAGATTGCTTAACTTAGGTTGAGTGCTTGCAACTCAAAATATCAATGCGGAAAGACATCATCCAAAATTAGTAGTGGCGCTAGACATGTGTCAATATATTATGAGGGATACCGTATATGTTCTTAAAGCTATTATTGAGGCACTTGGATACAATGCTGGTGAATTTCTTATAATTAAGTTCTCATCTCAAATGAGATGCCAGAGTTTGTGATTGTTCACTTTAAAAATTATTACCTGTTTTAGATGTTCGCAAATCAAGAGAAGAGCGTCTTCCGGTAGTTATTTCTTATGGAAATAAAGAGCAATTGATAGCTAGGTACCATGCACCAAGCCAGGTGGCTAGCGAGGGAGATTTAAGCCTGAAAATAGCAATTCTGAGCGCTCAACTGAAAATGACAAACGAGGATAATGTGGCACTGTTTGATATTGCTTGTTCATTGTGACATCCTTCGTTAAGCCCTGGCTCCAATGTATTTTGGCTGTAAAAGCCTTATACTTTGTCAGGATTTGTGCCTTCGCAAGTCAATGAAGACTTATGAAAAATATGATACAAAGGTCTCGAAAGTTGCGTTATATTAGAAATTAAAATAGAAATGGTTGCAAACTTAATCAAAGAGAATCCGACAATCCCTGGTCCCTATAGCCGAATAATGATGCGAAGAAGTTTTCAGTTGAGGTAAACAAACCTTAAAAATTAAATTTGAAAAATAATACTTTTTTATATATCAATAGTAATATTTTTTCGGTTTGAACTTTTAACAAATTTCTCTATTTACCCGGTACAAAAATATATATGCATATATATATATTATTTTCGGTATCAAATCGGTACGGTTGTCATGATTCAATCGCAATAATATTTTTTATATATGTTAATAACTTCATTTAGAAAAAAACAGAGGGTATGCGTTTTAATTTTCGGAAAAAGAAATTTGTCTTATACCTTGGAACACCCTAATGTATATATGTATGTACCATACACATGTATGAAAATATATATTTATTTATTCTGTAAAATAAAATATAAACATTAAATTTCTCAGCCGCATGTTGCACGAAATACTGAGTACGCACACAAACACTCGCACACAAACGCACGCTAAGCATTCGAAAATGGGGTCAAAAGCAAATGAGGACAGCAACAACAATAACAACAACGTTGTTACAACGAGGCCAAATCTGCAGCATTCAAATTCTATGTAAAATGTCAGCGCATGGCAGTTGGTAAATGTACATACACACACTCGTATATAAATTGCACATACATATATATAATCGAGTCTGTGTGAATGCCTATGAATGCATGTTAAAGGAAAATTAAAAAGAAAAAAAACTCTGCCAGCAAACGCCAATACACACAAACAGAAGATTGACTTTGCAAAGTCACACAGCTGCAATTATAAGTTAACTGCAAATCGGTGGGAAGGAAGAGAACTAAAAATAAAATTTGAAGCATATTTATAGGCTGCGAAGCTTGATTGACGAAGAATATGCAGTTTTTGTAAACAAAAATTATTAAACACATTTTTTATATAAAAAAAAGCATAATCAATTACTATTATATTTTCATTTATTTTTGGGCCTTAAAAGCAGAAAATTATGAAATATGTGAAATTATATTATAAATATAAGTATAGTATATACAAAAAAAGTTTCTTTAGAGAATATAAATACATATATATCATATAATATACATGTTCGCTAAAGAAAATTTATCTTGTAAAAGATCCTTCACACATAATTTCTGTGAAAATTACGCGCCTAAATTTTATGGCCCACAAAAAAATTTAGTTCATCGAATGCATACATACAAGTATGTAGGCTGTATGTACGTTAGAGTGTAATTGTAATATGAAATCAACGCGCGTTGCGGTTACAGTAAAATATATTGTTGGTGACGTTGTTGTTGGCCAACGTGAATCACGAGGTGACACCGTGTCTAAGAATATCACAATGCAAATGAATAACTAGAAAAGAAGTATGAAAAAAAGCAAAATGAAAGCGGAGAAATATAAATTTACACAAATAAACAGAAATATGTAAATTTAACCTGAAAGATAGTAAAAACAATAAGAAGTGATATGAAGAACTATGTATATATGCATATACTGATACGCACTGATACATATACATAACTGTATTTTTTTAACTTATTACATATTATTTAAGAAACTTTATTTATAAACTTACTAAGGCTTAGCCCATAGTGAATAAAGATTATTATAGCGTTTTCTTTTCTCGATGAAAAATTTGCTTCATTATATGGCAACATTATATAAATGTTTAAAACTGAACAATTCATTATAATTAGTAAAAAAAATTTATTTAAAAAAATAACTGTTAAAACCGAAAAATAAACCTTGTCTGGGCAACTCTCCCGCTTACTTTTTGGAAAGGGCAAAAAATACTGCACTTGTTTCAGGTTAGAAGGCAACATTTTGAAATAAAAAAACAACGCAACTTTAACAGCCCGGGCATACTTGTAGAGTTGAATAATTGCAACATTATAGTTTTTAATATTAGTTTCAGAAGTGTTTTCAGTTTATTTCTTCTCTTTCTAATAACCATCTTGATCTTATCGAATCTTTAATAAAGAATTATAAAACATTTTGATTGAATTCATTTGTCTTTTTAAACTACTTTTTGAAGAAAGCGGTTTTCGAACTTAAAATCAACTGATTACAGCGGTTGCCATATTTATATGAAAGTTAAAAATCCTACTTTCTATTTGTAACTTACAATCGAATAGTCCTGATGGCAAAACACTTAAAAGACTTATATTCTTTAAGGGCTTATATTCACTTGTAAATTTAAAAAATTAATATTTTTGTATATATTATATATCAAATCTACATATATTTGAAAATGGTCACCGAAAATTCAAGTTGACCCAGCAACTAATTTAGGATATATGAGCAAATTTGTAAGAATATTTTAACTTAGTGTAATCGGCTCCTAAAACTGTAAACGCGTTCGGTTGGTGAGGAAAATTTCTCCGAAACGGTTGGACTGATCGACTTGAAATTTTCGCATGATCTTCTTAGATATATTTGTCAGGTAATGATCGAAAGAATACGATTTTTGATAATAATTTCGATTTTTTCAGCCTCTTTCAAGTACAATTTATTTTTTACAAAAACCGACATTTTGTTTGGAAAACCGCAAATTTCTGAAAAGTAAAAATTTTTACTAGTCCAATTAATACCTGTATTTATTACATTATTATTTGAAGAGTGAGCGATGACAGCAAAACACAAGAAGGCTGAAATAAGATCTGACATGGTAACCAGTTACAGCAATTATTTAAATTTTCAATCACTTTTAATTAACTTTACAGGTAATTCCTGCTTTTAAGTCCAGATTTTGATTCGAAAAAAAAGTTGTGGGGTTATTTACGTGTGTGAGAGTGTATCTTCTGTGGCACCAATTTTGGATAGCTGGTTGTATATTACAGGACTTAAAAACTAACACTGCATTATGGTACTGTTATTATATTTATAGTAATGATTAGAACACTTGTTTACCG